TAGGTTGGTAACTGAGCTGCTGACAAGCTTTCAACCAACTAATCGAAAAAAAGCCACATTTCGCTCATGGCGTATCCTAGCGTTTGACATATCACGTGTAGTTTATCCACTGAATGCATGAATAAGCTACAGAGGGCGTCAAGTGATGTTCTAACATGAATATATAACATAGGTATAAGTCGTGATAAGAAAGGCTCCATGACACATAACGTTAAAATGTCAGCATTGAAATAGCTGGCACGACAATAAGAAGATATCAGAGACGACGGACACACCAGATCACCACGACGATAGCACAACCAGTTACAACCTTCGAATCAGAAGGGTCTATGGAATGGAAAATACATTTACCTCTTGTTTACCTAAACTATGGAAATTCCATCCTTTTTTTGACTCCCGAAAGAAATCTGAGAGAATGAAGTTCGCTTGCTAGAAATGCTGCGATCGTTTGCACTTAAATGAAGTATCGTTGGTATCGTGTTTCGGTGAGGCAGTTACGAATACGGCCATAATATGTATACATGATCCATCACACACGAATCGCTCATTTAGTAAACATCTTTTCAGCGACAGAATCGGCCAGAGAAAACAGATAAAGATCATTCCAGAAAAAAGTGAATCGTTGGCCTATTCGGTATTACGGTTTGGCCTTTAGGTGTCGTGACTGAGTGGTAAAAAGACGCAACTGCCTAGGCAGCTTCTATGTATATAGGGATATATAAAGTATATCTAAAAATGCACTACCATTAAATAATTGTTACGCAATTATTACAAGTGCCGATAGTATCATACGCTTCAAGGGCACTTAGTGTTTGTCGCAAACAAAATAGTAATAATAAGACAAATTATGTATCAGAGCCCTGCCTTCTATCGCTAATCGGATGCCTCACAGCATCCGATTAGCGATAGTAAAACAGGGTTATCTAGGTATGTTTATGCGTCCTAGATGTACTGTTAACTTGAAATTTCCAGCTAATAAGCACTTGTTCAGAGCGACAAATGCCCACGAAGAAAAGGGTTATATCACCTTACGGGGACGCTTGGGTCTTATGCTCTGGAAGTGTCCCCTTGCATTAAGTTCAAAGGAGCGCTGTCGTACAGCGGCAGTCAGTGAGTACTTAGTCGCAATCGTGCCGATTTATTTTGCTTTACAGTAGAACAACCTGAACAAAAAATGCGAGGGGATGTGAAGTTAAAGCGTAGCTCGTCATTATTATAGCAACCGCAAGGTAAAGTGTGACTGGAAAGGTAAGATCGACGACAGAACCACATTTCATTCATCCTGTATAACACTTAACAGCCAGGCGGCCGACGAAGTAATACACGGTTGCGGGTTTTACAACACAGCTTTCGCGTGTTAACCTCAATAAATGCACACTTCAACGGTTAGAGTTCAAATGGCTTCTGTGAAAAAGAGAAACGTATAGGAGGTGCGTTATCTGAATATTCATTCAGTTTCTATAGTTGTAAAAAGGCATCTACTTCCACGGGACACAAATCGCGCTGATGAAGACAAACATTTTTAAGAAGAAAACTAAACACACCGATTTTTAATAAAAGATATTAATACCCGTATCTAAAAAAATACATTTCTACAGGATGAGACACGCTGTGGCTCCTTGTCGCGTCGTGTACCCGATAAGCAGCTGACGTTATCGTCACTTATCAGATAGGCCGATTGCAGCCTCCAATACTGTAGCAGCAGCAGCAGTAACACCAAAGTAGTGTTCGTGCTTCAACGCCTACTGGCGGTAAGTAGGGCGATTTACCCATTCCCCGTTTTGCTCCGTTCCCCGTCGGTGAGACAGGTCGTACCCTGTCTAAAGTCCACCCTTAGCAGAACAAGGACTGTGAATGCAGGCATCCGCGTGTACACCACAGAATCATGCTCTTTTGCACTGCACATTTAATAAATCTTGCAGTAGCAGCATTAGCCAGGGTGGTTCGCTTCAGGGCTGCCGTATGCATTGCTTATTATTATGGGATGAATGCCACCAAGACGCATACACCAAGGTCGAACTAGCATTACACTTGTGCCGCGATTGTCAGTCATGAAAATTTATTTATATGAACTATATATAATATATTAACTATATTATAGCATATGCAGTTATAGAAGCTATGGCATAGCATAACAATACTCAGTAATCCACAACAAACGGCCCCCAGTCGCAACGATCGCGATGTAAAGGCATTTACTACCTACACAGAGACCTTTTCCACGAAGTAGCAAAGAAGCTAAGAAAAATATTGGCAACAATTGGATGATTTTGTTAGTAGAAACTTTTGCATGTAAGAGCTCATTATCAGTCTCTCGATATCTTATGTCAAAGCAAAAAAAAAACCCCGCCTTTCATATTACTGTTAAGCATTGCTTCAAAAAGCACAGACAGTTATGATCAGATAGTGATTAATACCTTGCTATCTGAGCACCAGACTATATATACGTGTAAACCACGAATGCAGCGTCCTTTCTGTAGGGCCGATATGAAGCACGACGCAGTACCTGTGGCTGAGAGAACGTTCAAACTAGAGCGGTTTATCGAGTGCAGACCCTAACGCAATATTAGAATCAATTCTGAAAGTACGGGGTCCAAGGTTCGGTAAATGAGACTCCCTTAGTACAAGACGATTATATTAGTAACAGACTCTGATCGTCCGCACAATGTATCAGCGGTTGGTCTTCTAAAAAAATACGCTTTAAGAGACTTTTACAGCATACAAGCGATGTAACGAGCTTGTAAGTACGCGCGACACCCTAAGCTAGACTATATATGGAAAATGTACCGAACACAATTCTATCCTCACAACTCCATATCAGGTCAATCAAATCAGGCCACCATTGATTTCTGGATCATTACGCAATATCAAAAATACTAAATAAAATTTGTCTAGCAATTAAAAACAATAGTTATAAACGGTGGCCCGCCACAGCCGAGAAAGAAATATAGTGTTGTATACCTATGAAATGAGTACATCTATCCAGAGAATAAGTTTTCTGCCGTCGTCTCAACGACCCGTGGAGCAGTCATCTTTATGACACTGAATAGTGAATGTGCTGGTGGTCAATGTGGTAGAACATAAACTGGGAATAATTATAGAATCTTGGATTGCTCGAGGGCAATGAACCTAGAGATAATGTGGCAGACAGCAATGATTCATTCAAAAGCTCACTGACATGTCCCAGCTGCGCTTCCAGGGGGGGTGTCGCTTTTTAGGTTGCCTACCACGTAACGCGTAATACGCGCTTAGATTGTGTGTATACGTGTGCGCGAAAACGCCGGCATTATCCGGAGGGCCAGGTTATTATTTTTTAACCGTTGACAGTGGATGTAACCATTGTCCTTAGTTGTGCGCTCGCTAATATACGGTTCTATGTGTACGCAACAGGGTAAAGGACAAGCCTTGAAGTGGGTTCTTTTGATTAGAAGTATCCGTCATTTGAGGCCACACTGGATTTCTAGTTGATAAACTCTCTCTACTCTAGTTGATAAAAGAAAACCGACGACTAACCACTACTAGTAACACCAATAAGAGGAACAGACTTGATCTTTTATGGCCATCAAAAGTAGGGAATAAGCAAGGATAAAACGGAAAGCAAGCGGTATTTGAGTCAAGTAATTGTTCTAATAAGTTTTAGGCTTGATATATTACAGCTGTAAATAGACATGAACCCATTGGAAAAAAGTAGGTGGTACGAACCCAGGTTGGATAGGCGAAAGGTCCATTCCTTTCTTGCTGAGAGGGCTCTGGGCCTTGCACAACATATTCTACGTTTTGTTTGGCACCGTCTGCTTTTTCATAATGTTGTACAGTTTTATAGCTACTCTTATTTTCCTTTTTTGAAGTAACTGGTGGAGGCGGTGCAGTCCGTTTAGGGCTTGATATAACCTGTCTTCTTCTGCGGACGGGCTTCTGGCCTTTAGCTCGTGTAAGTTCCACGTCGCGTCTTATGATTTTCTTAGCGGGCGGTTTCCCTTTACAAAATAATTTCTGCCATACGCCATACATACAGTCACCGCACATTTTCTGACCGCAGTTTCCCTACTCTTTGACTTTGTTGCAAAAAACAGTCAGCAGGTGGATAATATGAGTAAATATCAATTTCGTTAACATATATAGAAGATAAGTGTAAAGCAGTAACAGTTTTCGTAACAATTCTCTATATAGAGTTTGTTCCCTGTCAAGCTGACATCTAGAGTCTTAAAAATAAGTGTTGCTAAATCTTATTAACGCGCTATAGCTATTTTAGCACAGAAAAATCACGTTCTGATGCAGCACCGAACTACTAAAAGCAGGTGTATTTAGTAGTGGCATGGCCAAAAGGAACTTCCATCCGCGCAAATAGCGTTAAGCATAGAAAGAGACAGCCAGTCATTTTACAGATACAATAGCTTCGCTAAAGAAAGGAATGAAGGTGCTCTATTCCGACCAGTTGTTGATCAAGATGTAGAACTATCCGACGGTTGACTACCACAAAAGAACATAGGAATGCTGGTCCTCATTTACACTTGCGGAAAAATTCAAACGTCCAAACAGATCACGGCGGACGAACGGATGGATGGGTGGAGGAATAAACGAGTAAGCGATTGTTGTACCCTTGCCGGTCTCGTTCCACAGCTGCTGCCAGGGCAGTAGTACCCACGATTCGGGCTTTTGGCAAAACGCCGTTGCCTCTCTGATCCGACGGCGTTTGTCGACATTCACCCTTGCTGTGGCGTCCCGTAACGAACGGACAGATCCACCCGTTACGCTGTCACAGTCAGTAGCAGTATTCGGGGTTCACCGACAGACAAGCAGATGACGACTGTCGTCGTGGTGCTGATTATGACGGGGATGATGCAAGAGACAAGCTCTCCCCGTTCCACGCCTTCTCTCGCCTTTCCTATTCCCCTCCTTCCCGCCACACGATCCACTGCGACCACGAATGAATCACGGCAAAGCAAAGCAAAACCAGCGCAGGCGAACGCGGACCCAGCATGACACCACCTACGATAAGCTTAGCGAAACCAGCACAGGCTCCAGCGTCACCTGGCGGGATCGTATAGCATTTGTCCGAGTTGACATTGTGGATAGACAGGGAAGCGACGTCCATGAGCATTGACAGCAGAGACAGGCCTAATAATGGCACGACTATAAACATCTATGTAACATAAGTATGTCAAAACGTTGCATGTGACACGGCTTAGAGTGAAAATAAGTCCGCGACGAGGCTAGCAAAAGCTCGATTAATTGTCGTAGTCTCCACTCTGCAGTGAGTGGAATTGGTTGCGGGTATTGATCTAATACGAAGCGGTCAAGTAGGCGATACGAGCACAACATTTGAGTGCTATTGTAATTACAGAGGAACCCCGTTGTCACTGCTGCTCGCTGGAATAATTGTGGTATGATAGTCTATATATAGGCAGTTTTTTAAATATGTAAATAAGAATATTTGAATTTAAGAAGATTGAGTTACAAACGCACTGTTGATGACTGACCGTGCTCTCCGTCGAGTTCGATTAAGAATACGTGATGATTTTTTCGCGAAATTTACACGCGAGTCGCACGAAGCTCTTTTTACAGAAATTTAACAGCTGGCGCTCAAATAGTTTGTAGGGGTCAAAACCAAGCTTCCCCGATAAAACATTCGAAATACCGTATAGCGAGAATTGTATGGCCTGTTGCTCCTTATATTCTGGTTTACAAAAGGCTGAAAACGACATATATATATATATATATATATATATATATATATAACGTTGCACTTAGATCGTTTAAAAACGTGAAGTAGGAAAGGACACACGACAACATACGACAAAATGATCATTCTTGGAGTCCTGTAATGTCAAAACGGCCTTTCTATTTATGGTATATCCTAAACACGATTTCATTGAACGAAAATATAACGAAAAAAGCGGGGTTTACCTCGAGCTCCTAATGTACAGGTAATAATCGTATATCGATTATCGAATGCCTATATGGTAAATGAGACTACTGCGTTTTTCGTGTTATTTTGGCCGGCTCCGCGAAACCGAAAAGAGCAAGAGCTTCCCATCGGTAGAAGTATTTGTATATATTGAAACGCCTCTCGTTATGACCACATTATCTCGTTCTCGTACGAAATATAATAATAATGAAGTGCATATATGTGCGCGAAATAGGCATATGCTTATTGATCACTTGATCTGAAATATATTTTTGCTTACTATCTTAACTATAAATTGCTTGTTCTTTCGAGTTTGACATTGCTGGTCGCGTAAGCAATAATTTCACTTTACGGCAGGTATTTCATTGATATGGAACCCCTTTAAATTCAGTCCAGGCCAGCGTTTAGTAAATTACATATCAGCTTTTTAAGATGAAACTAAGGCGAAGCTCAGACAGATTCACAGAAACCAACCTTTTTACTAAAGGTCCGAAATGATACGAGTTAACGTTTACGACCACTAGACCACGACGTCTACCAGAATTTAAAGTTTCGTAAATAAAACAATTCACAAACTGGTATTCAGATTAGTTGCTTGATGAGCTAAACCACTGCCCCTGACGATTAACAATCAATGTTCAAATCACGGCAGCTGTCACAAGAAACTTTAGATAGATAAACTTACGTATCTCGGTATGTATGTTTCGCGATAAAACAACTATAGTCGATTAAGAAGGAATATACTGAAATATAACAATAATAGAAGAAACCTAAGCAGCAAAAAAAAACAGCGTAAAATAATATAATTACATTTACGTTGCAAAGATTAGTGCTCTGGTGTTTGTTTATTCCACCGCTCCTCCAGACATCCTGCAAACATTCCGGCTCCGAATCCTGCTGTGAGTCCTCGAGGGGCGTAAGTATCTCAAGCGCATTTTTACGCACAAGTCCTTCCTGATCGTCCAGTCGGCACATGTAGTACCTTTCAAAGGAATTAAAGCAGAAAAACATTACAGGGCTATCCGCAACTTGTCAGCCTCAGATGAGTAGGGTGATACATAATGTACGCTTCGACAATGTTCGCAAATGGAACAATATCGATACTTCTCAGCCTTCCGAGCGTATTTACCGAAAAGTGTGTCGCTAAACGTAAAACTAATAAGAAATGTGATGGAGTACGATCGGGAACAATTCGCACACCTGTCGTTGTGATCTGATACAAGCTCTATGAGGTCATATTGACTAAAGGCGAGTTCACCAGTAGCGGGTTGTTGGTGATCCTGTAGTGCCATTCCGCATGGGTTCGGGTGAACTACCGAAGTGTCATGAAGATGCAACTGAGGTGCCGGACCGCGAGGTGGTGGGGGTGATCCCGGTGGCACCGCGTTACTTTCCTCTCGGATTTGGCTTAAAACAAAAGGGAAGAACGATGGTGACCGGCTCACAGTTAAGTTGTAACTTGAACACAAAACTAAACTTAGATGGAGACTAAGTAGAATATTTTCAACGGCTAGATTAATTATGATCTCAATGACAAAATTAAGCATTCTGATAAAGGTCATAGCTTAACAAATTAAGTGCCGACTGAAATTGTTGCTTTAATGGCTATCAAGTTGGAACACTAGCCAACTTTCTAGGTATAAATAAATATCGCTTAGATATAATATAAATGATTTTGAATATTTTGGCAGAGATATGTACAGGGATATTCATCCGATCGGGAACGACTTGAAAATGACGTCAAAAAAGCAACTGAATGCACATACGTAGATCTTTTTACAAGAAGTTTTATACCTTTATGGTCTTACGTACGTACAATACCAATAAGGCGGTAAGTTATTCGCTTCATCAAGTTCTTGGCCACTCTTTCGCATACATCTGGTCTTATCCCTAGGAAAGCACACCGCTGTATATTTTTTATTTTGTCTACCGTCCGTGGACTATCGAGGTACATTATGTTTTTAACATACTACCATAAAACAAAGTCGAGCGAAATTACGTACGTAGTTTTGGGGGGCATTCGATATTGCCCCGTCGATAGTGCAGCCGCTTACTGAAATAAGCCTATAATACCGCGATAGTCATGTGGCGGAGTGGGACATATTTCGCTGAAAACACATGCCTTTGCAAACCCGTTTTTAGTAATACGGAACACAATAACCCTTGACATCATCTCTTAACAGCGAATAGCTTCGTCAAAAAGTACTAATGATCGGCCAACATGCGGCTGCACAGGTAGGCTAGTTTTTTTGGGAGACAGTCTTTTTGTAGATAGTTCTGTAGTTTCTCGGTCTCTTCCAAGCGTCTGTGACGTTTGTTCATACACCTCCCCACGGTAAATCGTGATTCGCTGCTGGACAGAATTTTTATGGTCGACGAAAGGCCCAAGAGGAGAAAAAAAAGTGGCTAAAAACTAGGTGAAGCGAAACACTTAAATACAAAAACTTTGTTTGTAGTAAAAAAAAAGGGATTTATGTAGGTATAATTGGTAGGAAATTGTTTTTGTTGGCGTCATTTGGAGGTTGCTCCCGACCAAACGGTTGTCTCTGTACATTGAAGTTAGAACCAGTGGTAGTTTGCAGTTATTATGATGTATACGCACACGCGCATTTACCTTATCCTCGACGACGTTCCATTGAACGGAAGAAGTGGTTGCACCAGACTTCCAGTGATCGCCGGTAGCGATAATTTGCGATTGAGTTGAGGCTGTTGTGCTTGCGATACAAATGGATCAAAGGGTGTGGAACCAAAATTATCGACTGACATAGAGGTTGATATAGTTGAAATCAGTGGCGGAATATCCATGTCGAGTAAACAACCTTCACTTGTATTTACAGGCTCGGGAAAGTCGACATCAAGCAGACTTTGTACATCTGAAATAAAGCATTTCTTACTATACATGTATGTTTTCAGATCGATCAATCTTCATAATGTGAATGATAATGTACGCGTTAAAATTGGTTATGGGACTATTAAAAAAATATTTAATCTGGACAAATCTCGAATCTGTTATAAATAAGGAACTAAAAAGAGCTTCGTGTCCATGTATCTCCTATTATCTATCTACTAGAGCTTCATATTAGTCTTATTAAGCATTAGCTTTATAAGGAGAGGCGTACAATTGCTTTGTTGTGGTACGGAGATCTGTTTCAGAGAAATTATTTAAGTGCTTTACATCAAACATTATCCATGAACAAGAAGTCGACGTTGAGCAAATGCCGCACATAATGCTGTGGCTTCCGGAACTTGGCAAATTCACTTAAATAGGACACCAATAATAGAAGATCGGACGTGAAACGCAAGCTGAGTCGTGTGTTTCGGTGCTGATCAGGCTTATCTTTCAAATAATATAATATGGTGAGAGTGGCAATTTGACAAACGAAGTTTCCCCTGTAAAAGGAGATACATTATGTTCTTTAGATAAGAAATATCCACCTGTATTTGTGTGAAAGCCACCTCCGATCTCACTCTATCCATATTGCTTATCAATTTCATATTTCTTTCGAACTAAGATGTAGAAGCCAGGTGAACTTGGGGATATAGATACTAATGAATATTAATTCGATAACGTGCTTTTTATGACACGTTTGTGACAAAACCATTTTGCTTGCAATCTGTTTATCCTAGGCCAAACGCAAGTTCTTGCAACATCTTCTGTAGTGTTTCTTTTTTAGTGGTAACCCACATAACAGCTTACTAACAGCGTTGACCTGATCAAATAAGCCAGGCACATTTCCTCCTCTCTGTAACGCTACGCCGCCGTTACTTTGACGTCTGCCAATGCAGCCGTGCGAACTGCTATTAGTACGACTAATGAAGTGAGTGAGCTCTCATGTTGAAACTAATTTCAAAAATCCGATCGCCAACAAACGTTTAGCTAGGAGTTCCGCTAAAGAGTTTTTTACCGGATCTTTCATCTGGTGTTCTGGATATGGGCATGTTTTAAATTCATTGTATCTAGTCAGCGAAAATGATTCTCATGGCCGAGCCAAAGTGTGCTCGAACCTGTTAAACTGGGTTTCGTCAGTGTTCTGTTATTATTAACTAGAACTATTAAGCAGAAATTACCACTCGTCGACAACACCTATCTCGACAGAACGGGAAGTATTTCACGATACCATTCATCTGTCGATATAACACCATCGACAGTATTGAAAAATTGCTCAACTCGATTAGAAACAAATCAGCCCGTAATTAGTTGTAGACGGAGTGGTTACAGTCTAGAAATGAAGAACGACAGCGCCAACGGTACAGTTTAACGTATAGGCATTATCAACGCTCCCAGTGGGACGAAGTATTAGCTAGACCGATTTGGACGACCTGGCGTATAGTTACTGATAGACTCCCTCTGGGTTTAGACTGCCTTGAAACTATCAGAGCCTACGACAAAAAACCGGTCTTCAGTAAAAATTAGCCAGTTATTTTTATAACTTCCGAGGTGAATGATAAACAACGTTTGAACGTTGAACAGTCTAGAATGAGGCTGGGTCAACGTGACGGTTCATGCAAACTTACGGATTGCTACAAACAAGTGCCGTTTCAACAAAAAAATGATACCTTAACATAAGGTCTAGTGGCGAAATATTGTACTACCATCTACTTTGGACAGATAAAGGAAATAATCATCTTATAAAACGCTAATAACCACTTAGAATTCCGTCGACCTGCACAGGTTGGCGAAAAGGTCCGCACCTTCGAAAAAACTACACGTTTACGTTATATCGAAGTTTGATTCCGTTAACTATTAGTAGAAGTGCAGGTTCTGTTAACAACGAATCGAAGTTTAGTCGTCCGATTGACAATAATAATAATAACGGTGTCTGCCTAAGCATCACCTGCAACGGTTTTCGCACGTTCGCTCTATAGGAAGGATATGTACTAGTTATCTGCTCGATAGACAGCCATCATTATGTCAACAAAAACCATAAAAATGAACGTTCGAGCTGAATGTTCACGCCGAATGACATAGGTCTACTAGGTGACTGTGGCATGCTGTCCACATGAGACTTTCAGAAACGTAGATCTACTCAGCAAGACAAGGTCTTAGACTTCACGCACAGTACCAGCCTGTGGTAAGGAACTGTCAACACCAGGTCTCTAAACATTGAGTACAATGGCTATCGAGACGTTACACCTATTTGTTCCATATACATACGTTGTGTCGAAATAGAACCGTCCAATCAACCAGTTTGGCCAAAACTTTTGCCAAATTTTACTTTTCTTTCCGAGAATTAGCAATTCTTTCTATTTTGAGAACATCACAAACGAACAAATCGGCGGAAAAGAAGTCAAGTTGGCCTCTCTCGTCGTATCTTGTAATCGAACAATAACCAGGTCTCGGCTGGACGGCGTTCGATCTACCCTTTTTGCCAAGTTAAACAATTTCAAGCCAAAGTTGTTGTAAAAATCAGTAAATATCCAGATCATTACGAACAAGTGCGTCAAGCTAACTGAATCATTATTATTATTTTCAATGGCGTAATACATTTGACATTAAAGTGTGCGCCAGTTATAGGGTCCGGCTGTCTGTGTCATCAAGATAATCCAGAGCGACTGCTGACTTCAGCTTCGTCCAAAATATTTGGCCGACGAGGAACTATAGCGTATAGAGACGACAATGTCCTGTTGGTAGTTATTGTCCCTGCAACTGGCCGGAACGCTCGAGCGATCCTAAGATTCGGATTTCCATTGACTACTGCGCAACCTCCGCCACCGCATTCGACTGACCGGCTCGCTCTTGTCCTATCGCGCCCGGCAGTCGTCGTTTTATTGTTTGACTCGGTCGTCGTCGTCGTGGTGGCGATGCCTCATCGTTGCTAATGTGAACACGTTGGGTCGTCTACCAACAGTAGCAACCGACTTTGAAGTTGACAAGTAGTAGAATCTGCTGTAGTAGAGGCTGAACTGGCATGGAAAGCAGAAGAAGGCGCACCATATACAACCTCGGCCACTCAGGAACAAATAGCAAAAGGTGTGACTATCTCCAAGACATGTGAACCACATAGCAGCATATTCCATTCAACAATACTCCGTTTAATGTAATAAGTATTGTGAAAGAACAATGAAAAACACCGCAATAAAGCTGAAAAGATCGCGATGTATTAAAGAGAGCCAATAAATTGAAGGGCAATACTAGATATTAACCTTTTTACCTGAGAAATTCTGTGTCTTCCAGGAAAATGCCCACCCGAACGACTTTCTCAATACAACAATTATTCATACATGAAAGGAAAAGGTGAACGGAATAACTTTATTTATAGCACCACGTAACACATTCTATCGTCAAGCAAATACATTACAAATAATATGTATATATATACACTTGTGTAATTGGCCTTGGTAATATTAAGGAGGCCTCTTTTTAAAAACTTGGTGCTATCGTTTAAGCAAAGATTAGCTAAGCTAAAAGTCCGCCGCCAGCAGGCTCATATATTTAAATCAATCCTGAAAAAAAGAACGCTTTATTACCAATTGAAGGGATGACATATATATCTGGCGAGTATATTTTAGGCAACTTTCCCGCTTTGATCGCGTAAAGTTCATATTGCTTTGAGAACCTCAACTTGTAAAGAGCAGGCTTGTATGCCTATTATGCGGCACGGTGATTTCGCGTCTAACCTGAAGCGGAGATCCGATTTGCCTAACGCTCTAGCATATCAACCCATTCATCAACGAGTAAGGGAACAACGTGGCAGATTTGGATCCAGCTTTCTTCAGCACTATTATTATGACACGAATCCTCATCAGGAAATTGATAAAATTGACTGGCACGTCAGGTTCATCAAGTTATCCATTTTAGGTCTGAAAGACGTATGGGTATGACTAACCAGCTAATACCGAGCCTGAGTATGGTAGTCGAAACACATTCTGTCCTGTCGGTCAGTGCCCCTCGTGTGCGCTCCTTGCGTAAATTGCTCCATCACGCTACCTACTATAAGTTGTGCTACTAACATCTGACAAGCTACTTAATATAAATTGTCCCACTTACTAATTTATAAAGCGCTAGATGCAACTCCATAAATAACGTCAAAAAAAAAGACAATCTCTTAGCTATTTAGAACGAGCGTTCTCACGTATTTGCCTAACCAAAATAGTTCAAAACTATAAGAAACGACATGGTATCTATATTAAACTTTTCAGAGGAACCTTCGTTATATCTTTTGAGATAAATGCAGATCACTTCGTCTAAGATCACAAATGAATTTCAAACAGGTAGATAGAGATCTTACGATAGTGATCTAAGAATCGAGCAGCATGTAAAGAAGCATCTATGCACTATGGATCTAAGTTTCGCACTCAGACGCCGAAAACCTGCTGCTTGGGTCGTTACGAATAACTTTAATACTACCTGGTATCGTTTTTTGCGTTCGGTTAAATCTACTATTTCCAATACCGTACAATGAAGCACACCCTAGTTGTTTGTTAAAAATTGAAGTTCCATAGTTTTCTAGGACATTTCTTCAGGAATGCAGTCCTTCAGTGACACAGTTGTGTTACTGAAGTACTGAATAAAGAAATATCGTAACGCTTATCACACGACGACAAACTCTTAATGTCACTCTTGACGTCTTGCAACGAGATTATTATTCTCAAGTCTTTTCTATTGTTCCTACATAAAATACGGAGGAGGCGCTTCACGTAAACGACCTATGCAATAATAGATGAAGTTCCTGCAACTATTTGTTTGGTTTACACATCCGAAGGACGACCACAGCATTGGTTAACTACTTTACATTGAGCACGAAGTTCAAGATGGTAATGACTCACAAACCCGGATATGGTCAATTAGTAGAGTGTGTAATTTTTGGGGCTCAAATTTATGAAGAAAGATTATTCAACTAAGGTTCATTTATGATGCAGCTCGGTCAAGGCTGTCCCACAGTTCGATATATTACGGTTCATTTTAGCAATTGGGAAATCTATCCTTATTCGGTATAGGTTAGTAAATTAAGTAAAACGAATTTCTCGGAGACTGACAACACTTATATTTTTAAAACTGCTCTTAAATGGCTTTCGTGTAACTGAAGCTGTTGAAAATAATCCATTTTCGGTATGCTTTATAACATTCTAATCCATAAATCTAAAAAGCCATAGAAAAGCGCAGGATAAGGAACCTAACTTCTATAACAACGCTATATTTTTAAGGCTCCGACTGCTCTGACTCCTGCGTTGACATCTCAGCAGATTTGAGCCAAAGTCTACCAGCATCAAGACCCGTCGCTAATTCTGTACCGGTGCATTTGGCCGCTTACGTGGAAACGATGATGAAAACTAATGACTAGAGACTTACTGTTCGATGCGATGTGGTTCTTTGATGCAGGTGCCTGGAGCAATAAGTCAGTACCAAATGCTCCTGGCGAGGATGGTGGAGTATCGAGGCTGATTAGTGTCCCCGTCGCTACGACATGGCTTCCTCCTCCAAAACCGTTCTGGCCGCGTGGAGGTAGCGGTGCCTGTTTCTTGCTGTTAGTTCGAGGTGGTTGCGACAAGGCCTGATTCGTATAACTACCGTAGCCCCCGCCGAGGCCTGACGTGACGAATTCGCTGTTCGCATTTGACGTTGATGATTTACTGCTTCCACCAGAAGTAGATTTACCTGTCGAAGAAAACATTCAAAATCGAAGATAGAAGACTTATGCATATAAGTGGCACGATGTCCAGAGTTCCAGAACATAATGTATTGCTTTGCTTTTAATTTTCACTGTGACATGTGTTGGATGCACTGGGACCAAGGAAAAACAAAAGGGAAAACGTACTCCGGTTCCATCCAACCAAACAGCGAGTAATCCTATTTTAGCAACCACTGAGCATCATAAAATATACATTCTAATTTGTAGGTTGCAATTTTCAAGTTCGTATCAATGAATATATAAAAAGGTTAGCTGTTCTTACAATTGCAATAGGACATATCAGTGTTTGCTTGACCGTAATCAGTGGACTCCCAGTACCTTGATCGGCAGTAACCTTCAGTCGCAGGAGAAAAATGTTTATCGTACGTCGATCGGACGCTTGACTTTATCGAAGCAACCATAAAATAGGACGAGTAGAACACTAGCTGACCTAAATCGGACAGTGGTAGTAATTTTATTGATAACTAACCAGCATTTATTTTTACGAGTTTCTTTTAGATTTTATCGACTGGAGATGTCTAGATCTTAAGCATAGTAAAGATGCTTCTTTAGGTAGAAGAAAACCTCTTTCTAACAAAGAGTGTTAAGAGAGATAAAGTAGTGAGTCTGCGTGTACAGTACTGACCGAAAATTTTAACCCTTCTCAAAGCTTTAGCTGTGTTGATATGTAAACCCTTGTGATTAGTATTTCCTTTCGACAGGGTTTTGTGCGCTGGAGGCGTGGGTACCGCCGGTGGAGGTCCTACAGATGTCTTCGATAGCGATGTTGTACGGGTAGGAACATAGTCGACCCTGGGCGGAGCTAGAGCAGATCCAAACAAAACAGACAACAGTTAGGCTGTTTTAATGCACTGCTGTCCTACCAGTCCGCATTGTAAGTGAGGTGCAATAAGGTTACACATGACGGAATCAATTCTATAGCCAAAAATAGTTGAAATTTCTCGTGTGCACAGATTTATGTGTGTACACACTTACGTGGTCTTGGAGGAGCTTTTTTTGTCGGTGTCTCGACCATTTTTGGCCGGATGACTGTGGGTATCTTCGCTGTAGCCGTACTCCGGTTATTGTTCCGATCCCCATTGAAATGGCTACGATTACTGTGATGATTGGCATTGGGCGCGTGACTAGGCACCGGAGGAGGTGGTGCCGCGCGGCTGGGCTTGCAGCTCGCGGACATCTACAAGACGACAGCAGCAAAAGCACGAAGTGACCTTGTTAGGCGGAGTAGTTTGAGTTAATTATATCAATAGTTTCGATTAATTTAACTTTCATAATTTAAAAAACTTATTTAGAAATAATTAATCAAGATTTCTCACAATTATACTGGTGAGAAAGTTTCTAACTAAAGTTTTTGGCAATTCGAGACGTATCTGTATTTAATAGAAATATAAGCACCACCGTTTTTAGTATTCTCAGTGTGGATTATACTAGTGCAAAAGGTAATGCTTAAAATCTTGGTTTAGTGTTGAATGCGGACAAGTATCCTAGGAAAGAGGATTTCACGAACTGCACACCTTGTACGCACTAAAACTTTGTACGGGGTATGCCGCCAAATTGGTCAGCCGGAGCACGGAGGCCATTTTATCGTGCTCATTACCCTCATAACGAACTTCTGATGTTATATATTATATACATATACAGCTTCGTAACCATTTGTCTAGCGTGTATATATACAACCTTCCGACATATGATAGATCGGATTGAAATTTTCATAGCGCATTGTTCATAACATGGGCAGCATATTTTGAGCACGTGCCATACGACCTACCGTTGGAAGGACAGCTTATGTGCCTAACAATAGCTGAACTTTGTTTATTTTTGTCAGAGACTATTGATGCAGTACACGCGACGTGTGGAGAAACTTTTATAGCAATAAAATTATCCCATACCGATGCCCAATAAATGTCTGCGGCTATTCTATTGCAGATCATCATAACAACTAAAAGTATTCGACCAACAGACAGCCGAACCACTGACATATAGATATCAATAGCTTTTAGACATACAAATAACATTCAATTCGGTTAATATCATAATGCAAAATCCCGCTAATTTAGACACCCAATTTTATGACAAGGTCAGATCAGCATTGGTCAGTTAGGAAATCTGCCGCGTGCCTTAAAAAAGTTAACCCTTTAGACCGATGACCTTTAGACTGAAACGGAGTATTTGAAGGTTTGTTTTCCGTTTTCGACTTTAGTAAATGGGACGGGGCATGTGATCATAGCGAATATTTAATTCAAACAAAGTCAGCATAATAATACACGAAACTATCCCGACCAGCTGACCAACACTTGAACAGACGCAGATACCTAGGTCGAAATATGGTGCACCAACCTTTTTTAAGGCCGCAAGTACACATCGATTAAATATATTTGCATCGTAAAATTCGTAACTTGTCTTAAAGCTAAGCCATTCCATGTGATCAATAGCAATAAAGGATCGAACGACTTTATATCGGCAACGTCTAAGAAATTCGTCGTTTCTATGCATGAGGAAGTCCTTTCCAAGTCGTCTGCTATTTCCTATTTACCCTCCGTACATAATCTAAATGTCATTTATTTTGAAAACGTAATTAGATCATGATCGATTCGCATAACGTTTCCATGCAATCCATATAACACTGCTGGGCTTTATGCTAGTTTAATGAGACCTTTTCACCGATGGATAGTTCGTAGCCAGTATGACATCGAATCAGATAGCAGACGGGATCAACATGTATGTTGATCGTCTCCGCTACCATTCTTCTACCATGAATACCCACATTCTTTAGTGTTTGCTTTTACAGCATACTTCTTCTACATCAACCCTGGCGGCATCCTCTTATGGTCTTCCGAGTATAACCGCTAGCTGCCTGTAAAGCGAATTGCTGATTCTCAACTTTACATCACTTTCACAGGGCTAACCACGTAAAAAACAGCATTCATCTTCTGTCCATACACTGTATAATTGTCGAGCACGAAATCAATTAGATAACTCACTATCTGTATTAGAGACTCAAATAGGGACCACTTAAAGATTCACTTGCCTACACATAAAACTTAGCCGTTACACAGGCCATCTTCTTTCATCCAAAACCTCATCCCACGCTGCTCTATAACCGCAATATCATTTATTCCGAGCAGAAGTTGAAAATTAGGCGAAACGATAACCATAATCTGCGCTGCCAGACAACGTAACGACACTAACGGCAGACCTTTAGCTTTGACGTCGCACGTTCTGGCGTAGCAGACATAAGACAATAACATCCTTAGGACCTGGCGGACTAATTAGCTGCACTAGAGATGCACGAACATCTTACTCACTAAGTACCAGGTAGTCATTGGTTCTTACCCATTGCAAACTTATTCCTTGTGCCTCATTGAACTTCAACGATGATGGCTTGCGACGATCATGATTATAATGATAATGATGACGACTGTTATATTGATGATACCGCACTACAAGCGCTTACATTCATCTCCACCACTACCACCACCATAGTACAATCTTTCTGTTATAGAATGATTGCAATCTCTATTAACCAATACTCTATTAAATTGAGCGTCTCAGTTGAGCTTCATGTTATTAAAAGCGGCGTCTGATGATAGACCCGCTAACAGTCGTTGCGTACAACATTTGAGCAGTGCATGCAGTACATATGAGTAGTTCTGCCTCTAGTCGACCGTAAACGAACATAATTGGGTAATAGATTATTAGGTAGCAAATTAACCATTACAGCTTAACTAATTTGACATGGGTCTTCAGCAGTTGCGAGTCGTGTACCAACGTATACCATACGTTGAGATCGAAGCTATTCTGCGGTCGTTACGAGGAGCAAGCGATGAGACGGTCTGATTATCCATGCGACTAACACTATTATCCTTCATGTTTCGACGAAGTTCACTGTACAACCTCTGCTACAACAAGGTGTCACGGAGGTGTCCTGGCTCTCCCTCTAAATTTATCTCGGTTCGGTTCACGGCCAGCCCCAAACCTAGCGGCGTGTAGAACTGGGCTAGACCTTGCTGTACTTAGAATTTGTTCAACCCATATGTTAGTAAGTCGTCTGCATCAAGATGATTTCAGCCACCTTTTTCGGCTTTTGTATTTGAGCAAGGATTAATCTATTCAGCAAAAGAAGCCTTCAAGACCAACCTTTGGAACCGAAAACACAGATTTGTGAAGATCGCTGAGAATCTCTTTGCTCCGGGCGCGATGAAGAACAAATTGAAAGAGACGAACCGGCAAAACAAGTATACCGTGACTCGCTTTGCCGTACCTAGGCAGGGAACCGGGTTTAAACGAACTTAATGATACATGTAGGTGCTCCAAACGCGCAAACACTTATATAGCTATATGTAGCAAATCTTAAGCTAGTTTATAAAACTATCCTAACACAAGTGGCTTAATTCGTAGAGCAATTTGACTCCAATGACTGAAAACACCGTTCGCAAATATGTAACTGAGCAATTTCGGCGACGTTGTAGTTACAGATTGGTTACAGCAGCTAAGTTTGAAAGCCGTAAACCGATCAGTTATAATGCAACCTCACTAAGGCTCAGTAACACTGTGCAGCCGTCTTCTCCTCCGTTTTTCACTCTTTGAAAAAAAATCTGCCAATAACAAAGTATAAGATACGGGAAAAATATTCTCGCGAATTTCATCACGAGGCACCTTCAATCAAATAAAATGTTATTGGCTCACCTCGTTGTTTTCCATTGAAAGCTTCATGCGTTCCATTTATTAGTACGATTGACCGTATGCGTTTACTCTCCATGAATGATGCTAGACGAAGTGATCTGCTTTCAAAGCTACAGGAAGGGATACCATGCCACACTCAGCAGTTGTCCAGAGAAGTATGATATCTACTAGAACGTGATTCAGAAGAAAAGTAGTCATTCAAAGACCGTTGCTGGTGGCTATCTATAGCCAATATCAAATCGCCATACGCCCCTTTTTACTCAATCCACTCATCCGCTTCCATCCGTTCTCGGTCGACACACTCTCCGTACTTTTCAGTGTTATGGCTACTAACAATGATGGTGACTCCGTAAAAGGACTAACATAGCGACTCATGATCGTAACAACAAACATCCGATCAATTTTTTTACCGTTATTAACGCCGTTCTAGCTCACTGTAGCTCATTGACCGCCTGACATAGCGCCAACATTCAAGCCACAGTAGAAGAACTGTTAGCTCGTTGAAAGATATAGAAACGAAGATTTAGCTGTCCCTTGTGGCAACTTAAAGACTAAGCGAATTTTTGTGACGATACGAACGAAAAAAATGAGAAAGCATTATTTGTATACACTCCGAGCGTGTTATCGTGTACCTACACATATACGTATGATCTTTAACTTGTGTTGTTAGTCATCAGGTGAGTCAGCAATGAGTTAATGGCACGACGGAATCTTTTTCCCGAATTAATAGAATTCGATCGGTACGACTTCAGCTTGATTTCTACTCTGATATGCATTTGAAGCAAGATGACGTTCGGCAGTTGCCGTAAACGCGCAGTGGACTATTCTAAAAAAAAATTGACAACACAATATTTTTGCTGGCACTAATAACTCACAATATAACCGCCCACACTTGATCATATCCATAATAATGTTTGCCCAAACACCATTAGCTGCTCGACCGCATTTCCTCGTACAACAAACAAGATCAGTCAGGCGTATGCTCAAACCCGACAATAGACAAATTTGGAGACGGAGGAACGTATCAGTTCTGCATTTTCAAAGCTGTCTACGATAAGAGCAAATATTATTTACTACAGTGGCCTGCTGCTGCATACGATTCTATCCGAATACCGGCAAGTTTGATACTAAGTAACTCTGATTGAGTCAAGAAAATATAGCCCATGAACCGGTTCAATGTTTTGTTAGTTCCGCTTGTGGATGGCTTTTACCTATCAGCCTTCGCTTCGTTGCGTTTATATCACTGAAAGGCAAGAACAAAACGGTAACCATGCGCAAAACTTAACTTGTTTAGCCGACTTTCATCCCAACTGTGAAAGCTAACGCGCAACAGCTGTTCTGCTTTTAAAACTTTAAACATAATTCGTAATGGGAATAGGTCGATAAAGTGCAAAAATTAACGAGGCGAAGTAATCGTTAAAATTAGTTTACCGGAAATAGCATAGTAAAGTAAACTTAGAAACCATGAAGTCGATGTAGCCATTACTCTCACGGTCATCCTATTTTCCCTACCACATTCAGGTGGTAATGACGGATACCGTATCAATAGAAGTGGCATTTGGCGCCTTAACAGCTAAATCGCTTATCAAATGAACGCGATTTAGAAGCTAAAGCTATTCTTTTTGTAATGCAAATTATCTGACCTAAGCTGGCCTTCAGCTATAGTTCCATTTTGCCAGGGCTTTGGTGATTACTTGGAAATCTTTTGGCCTTAAATATGATTTTTTTCAAGGGACAAATGAAACAGCAGGATCGCCATAGGAGCACGATGTTTTTTATTTGTTGTCGTTTTTTTTTTTATAAAGTCCTTTCACTTTGCAACGCTTAAGAGTGACTGACATCGTTGTTGTTGTTGTTGTTGTTATTCATGATTTCTATAGAAATGCACTTAAAAAGACGCGTATTAAACTCTCATATTGCTTTACCCTTTGATTTAGTGCCAAATCGCTCAAAAGACACAAGATTTACCACAAACTGAGAAGTTTCTTTCAACATTTTATTTTTGTAAAAGTGAACCCTAATATTTCAAACACAAAGCTTTATATATAATGAAATAGTTCACTTATGTTATTAACTAAGGCATTTTCTATGTTTGTAGAATTCCGCGTTTCACAATCTGCGCATGTCGATACCTACTATTCTTTTTATACCAGATGCTAGGTTGCGTATCTGCACGTTTGCCGGCATATCTCGCCCCCAATATCCGACTCATTTCTTTTGTCAATAATAGCTTTAGTGTCTGCTGACAATTCTGCATCTGAGAAAGCTTTTCACTCACAACCTAAAGTCTTCTTCAATAGCTCATTATTCTTTTCTTAGAAGGTTAACAGCGAGTGCATTATACGCCCCAAACTTCACTAGTACAATGTTATTATGTGGTACTCTAAAGCTTTTACCCATTAACTTGGTTTTTGCTTAGGTTCCTCATGCAGATATTTTGAATATTCCATCAGTCGATTACAGAGCGCTCGATGTACAAACTCAGCCCTCACTGTTACCTCAACAAGTGCTTGCTTCGAAATACCGCTCTCGATCTGATTAGTCTTAAGCTGCGCAATTCGATTCCATTCGTTTCAAATAACTCCTTGCAAAACTACAACAACCAGCTACTTATGCATCATAGATGAATACGACGACCAGCTCTTTTTCGGTTAGTTTCTATTGGTTTAATGTTAGAATTGTTTTTCTCTCATGCCACTTTCGCCAACTAGTCTAGATTTAAATAGTACTCTATCTATCTATCTTCTTAGCAGAAATATTCTTTAATATTAAAAAGTACGTGCAAAAAAATTCTGCTTTCACGCTTTGTCACCGACACTGACATGCCACAATAAAATACACTGAACATTTTCCAAAATTTTTAAGATCTCGGAAAGTATTAAAAAACTACAGCACTGGGCCGCAGACAGATCTTTAGATAACCAAAAAAATCATAACAATATTTATTATCTTATTAGGTTGTAACAGTATTTTCGTAGTCTGGTTTTAGTTTTTTGGGGGAAAATAATTTTTTCCGAACTGATTTCTTGACTGTTATTTAAATGCTAAATGCATATGCTATAATAACTTAAGCTGAACTTTTTCAAACGCAAAATTATTTAACTTTCTTTCGAACTATGATGTCACATCTTTGTTTTTCTTATTTCCTAATAGGTATCATGTGTTCACAGGGTACATCTTCTATGTGTCTGCTATACAACTAACAGGCGCATTATTATAAGCCCATTTGTTCTCCAATAGTGTCCAAAACTACATAATCCAGGCCACAGATTTAATACCACTGGCTACATTATCTCCTTACGCTTTCTCCTGTAAGTTCCTTTTCCTAGGCATAAACGCGCACTGCCGAATGATGATTAATCATTCGATGTATATATATATACATATACACATATATATATATACATTATATATATATATATATATCCAAGCCGTATTATTACAATTAAATATTTACAGCGGATAAGGTCAAGCAAAAGAATAAGGATCAGAGCGTATTGAGCTGCTGCTTTAGCATAGCAAGAGGAAATGGAATCACTTGCAGTACAGCATATTATACTAGTGCTGGAGCTCGTAGGACTTATGTTAGGAAGCGGTTTAAATTTACTTCACACACCAGCGCCCTGAAGTACACTGGAAAAATAAGCAAGAATACTGTAGCTTATATTCGACAAAGTTTGCTAAAAGCTTTGTTAACCCATACTTTATGTAAGTATAGGTCAAATGGAGTCTATGGAAAAATTATTCTTGACGGAAACCATCGCAGGAGGTGTTGCTTTTGCGGCACTAGATAAGTCGGACTTGTTGCTAACTGTTGCAAGTAAGTTATCACTTATTAACTGGGTACTGACAAAAGGAGGCTATATGTCTGTATATGCTTTGCTTTCCGCACCAACGGCAAACTTCCATGTTACAACGTACCAATTTAGACTTTTTTACTGCTTTTTTTTTCTATTTTTTCAGTGTTTTTCTTCTCGTTAGGCGATCTGAATGTCTTGCGTCCCATTCAATGCCAATACGTTTTAGTGAGTTGTCAATATCATTTATAGCTAATCTGTTAGCTGTAATCAGTAAGTACCGCTAGATGGCTACTCCAGCAACGGATAAATGTAGTGTCCAATTTAAATATTATTTTGAAATAGGTGCAGCATGAACTGCTTCGTGTGTGGACATTACTCACGAAGAATTAATCGATAGTTGGCATAGCACACCAATAATATGGCTTCTATCATATAACAGTACATCACCATTTCGCCTATAGGGACGCGTGCAGCATCAGCTGACACTCCATCAATATCGAGATGGCAAGCGATAACCAGCCACACGAAGGCTTGGGATGGAACAAACATGTATACGAGGAACAGCGCAACGCCACTAATGGCAATAGGAGAATTAGTGGTAACCGAACAATATCAAAGAAAAGTCCAAATGTCATCCGTTACCCCCACAAGGTCGCTCCCCCGTATTTATCCATAACGTCTGCTGGCTGCTGCTGCTGCTGATGATGAATAAATGAGCTGTTGCTTGCAACCGCTACCACTGTCTGTGTTATAGTCGATAGAGACGTTCTTGTCCGCTTACGACTATAGCCTTTTCAGTCTGTAGTCTGGCAACAGAGGCCGCCATCATTAGCATCACAGTCAGCCTTTTAATCTCACACAATCGCCCTGAAGCCTTTCTTTTACTAGCCCACTAGAAACAGTTGAGCGACGGCCAAATGGCCAAAGCGCACGTTTACATTCACATATGTAGGCACTAGTCAATAATGATTTCGACTAACGAGAGACTGTGTCGAAGTCCACTGCGTAAAAAGTGCAGCCGTGCATAATGGTAAAAACCTAGTAATACGATTCGAATTCTGTATTCAAATCTAACAACCAACTCAGCAACGCCGTTTTATCGGAATCCGTATATTGGTGGATCAGAGCACTTATATATATACATGATGCTTAATAGCTGAAATAACTAGTAAGTTGAGCTAGTCAGGGGAGGGTGGCGCTCGTCACTATAATACGGTAATTTTTTCTAATTTTACCAGAGAATCATCGAGTCCCACTTCTGATCGTTTTTGAAACATGGTAGGAATATGCGTGCATTGCTAGAAGCTATCTGCCGCCCTTTAGCCATTAATTGTATATGGTTTTTCTATGTAAGCGCGTACATTAATCTGGAAAACGCCGAACGCCATTCAATGGACGGGCAAAGGTGCACCTGTCCACGATGGCTTTACTCAATTTATAAACTAAAGTTGTAGTTGCGTATTTATATGTATATATGTGTGATTCTATCTCTATTTACAACTTACCTCGAGCACTGAGTGTCGTCAGTAGCACAAGTTTTTCTTAGTTTTGTGCGGGTCGGCACGGAAGACAGAAGACCTCCTCTCTCTGTTCCCGTCGTAACTCTATATGATATCTAATAATAACAATAACAACTGGTTATTATTAATCCCTGAATGTAGCGAACACAAGTGCAACACTGCTCTACACCACACTTCACTCCTATATTACATCGTTAAGGGAAACCTAACCCCGATACTCTCAACAACTGTTGCTGCTGTTGCCCTTACAGCTGCTCAGACCTGGAAGATCGCCTACAGCCAGCAGCTGGCCAACGAACAACAGCAGCAGCATCAGCAGCAGCAGCAGCTAAAAACAACACTTTGTTTGTCCGTCCATCGCCAGCAGCAGCACCAGCGACGACTGCTGCTGCTGCTTCCATCATCAGTAGTAGCAATGCAAAAACTGTTCACCGCCGCCCTTCTGCTGGAACCCGACTACACTACCGTTAGCAGCGTCGCGACGAGCGTCACCACTTTTCACATGGGACCGCGACAAACAGCAGCGACAGTACAGGCACAGCAACCCGCATCAACCGTCGCATATTGTCAGCAGTTGTCGTCACAATCTTCTTTTGTCAAACCCATTTGACGACGGAAGGGGCGGCCTGGCTTTGCTTTACTTCTGTCGTCTGCGCCAGCGGCAGCATAGGAACGGCCACCATCAGAAACAGAACAGAACACCACCCGACGTTTTGCCTCGTAGCTAACCTATCAACCATCCATCCGTTCCTCCGTTTCAGCTGCTGTTCTCTGTTTCTCGACGGCTGTCTAGATTTATCCGTTCACCGACGAACACAAAGTAGCAGACGACGCACTGTCGGACAGACGCAAAACCATTTATAGTAACTTTTTCCCCACACGGAACTTGTGTAACTGGTCCAAAGTTACTAGACGGTTGTTGATTGTCTTCGTGGTGGTGCGGTGATAGCGTATTGCTCTAAGGATACATAGTGGTCTAAGTCCTAACCTTGAGTAGACACAGTTCGTACCGGATGCCAGCCGCCTACGGTAGAGTAGGGCAAAGGACTCGAAAAGAAAAAAACCAGCTGTAATTTATCAATTACATGTTACTCGCCAGCACTGTGCCCGTCTTTCTCTTAAGAGTAACACTATGGTGTGAAAGCTGGACACTACCACGGCAAGAGTCTGTGGTTCAGCCCAAGCGGTGTGTTTTCTTGGGGGTGCCCTTGAATGGATTCTATAGAAAATAGAGAACTGCGTTTTTTTTTTCTTTTCTTTATATTGCGTAATTTAAAAATGACTTCTAAAATGTTCGCTCCAGATGTTCGGAGTAGTTTCGGACAAATGAAACGTTAAATCAAACAATGCGACTGTTGATAAATGAAAACGTGTTGTAATTTCTTAAGATAGGTAGTCAGATGAGACTGTGAAGTTTTGCTGAAAGTGCAAGCACAACTTAATTTGAAAATATAGCACTTACTATTAAAACGTTGGTTACCTCAACAACTATTCTGGTTCTTGTTTCGCTACGTGTATTTGCAGGTTTGGCTGGTGCAGAGCGCTGATCTTTACGTAAGTTGTATCGAGCCAGCAGACACGCAATACCAATTCTAATGGTGTAGTTTAATAGACGGATTCTGTCAACTGTATGACACAGGTAGTTTATAAGGAAACAAATGAACGGTAGGATTTCTTAGAAGAGATATTTATTCGATTTCCAGGCGAGAACAATCGCTATATTAAGCGCTTTAGCCAACTTTGGCTAAAGAACGCATAAACTTTTTAGACAAAACACTTTATACGTTCAGAGCAAACACGTACATCATCTCGGAAATTATCTTTGTTTTCATCTATAAAGATGTGCAGTGTATGGGTGTCGGGCCACTTTTCGATGCTGACTACGTCATACCGTTACAAACATATTTATACTAAGTGGGTGTGAAGATCTATAATGAAAGTGCGGCTTGCATTTGTAGGTACTGAAAAATAAATTTTGACAAAATGCCGCTTCCCATTGTCATCATCACCAGTAATCAGCAATTTATAGGATATACACTAAATAGGCGCAAGGCAAAGGTCTTAGAATTTTTATCATAAAAAATAAATTGGAAGAACAATGGACTCATAGTTACCTATCAATAGTGGAAAAATAATTGTATATGTTTTATACCCATCCCCGTATCTAAGGGACGTCGTTTGACGGTTGCATAGAAATGGAAGCGGAAGTAGCTTTCCATTGAAAAAAAAAAGTGCCCTTTTGCCTAAATCCAATTTCACGGTTATTCAAGTTTATGTGAAACATCGCCCGTATACAACAGTATAGTGTATGCTGTGGGTATGAACTGTGTGTAGATCAAGATATGATTGTAAACGGTTTACGTACAAAAATAACTCCACTGAATTTATTTATGTAATAGACAATGTTTGTGTTTTTTATTTATTTTACTATGTTTTTAATAAACAATACATATGCTTTTTTGTTTTTTGTCTTTCTCTTTTTGCCCATCCACCATTTCTCTCCTCCTTTATAATTCCCCTGCCTCTTGCGTTAATTGTCACCGTCTTTATTAAAATTTTTTCGCCAAGCTCGAGTTATATCTTTTAATAGCTTTTCTAGATTTCTTATTATTGAAATTAGCTCGTTTTCGAGCGTTGTTGTTTTGTGTCGAGAACGCGGGCAAAAATTGATGTCCTTATTTTGTCGGATCTTAGTTAACAATAAGAACTGTTCTCGTTTCCCAACGTCAGGTGGATCAGACTTTTTTCATTATATATCATTTTGGTTTCTTATGTCTGACCCGATCAATGCCACCCAGAGACCATTACAGGAAGTGCAGTTAGTGGTAACCTGAGCTCAATTATTGTTATTAACTTAGCGCTACAGATTTCAAGTACAACCCGTAAAGGAGCAGAGACAGTTAGCTAGTTACAGTTCCCCACTCTTGCCTTTTGAACTACTTTTCTTTGTATACGAATGGATGGTACACACATGCTAATAAATTTCGATGCAAAATAAGATGTGGCCAGGATTACGTCACTCCTTCTTTGATACTATTTCTATATTATTGACCTCTTGAATATATATATATATATATATATGTATATATATATTCAAGAGGTCAATTTTCTGTCTCGTTCACACAAATAAGGGACATTAGGCGAGCATCTATATGTTAGTTTTAGCGTATAAGAAAGCCACTTTTGTTCTGTCGCGTCTTATTTACTGCCACTACTCGTTTTTGATTATGATCACGTATAGTCATCTGTTTAAATATGAGAGAAGCAATTGGGAAACGTAATTGTTACACACAAGGGCTTATTTCAATGATAACATAAAAGCATTGTATACAGGTAAATACTAACGTAAGTGAACAGAGATTAAAATAGAAAAGTACCAAAGCTTACAGACAGCTAAAAAAAAAAAAGAGGGTATTCTACAAGTTTTTCGCGCATATCTAAAGTGGATAATTATTACTCAATAATCCAATCAAACCTATTGGTTAACTGGACTCGAATTTTAGAAAAATAAAGTTTCAGAAAAAAGGCTGATTTTCGGCAGGCCGACAATATTAGTAGATTATCTACACAGTTATATCACACTATTTGGCTGATAAATCTTTTACGTGTGGCAACAAAGACTGCATGGACGTTAATTTAAATCAGGCTTTGAAGTGTAGCAAGATGAGAGCAAATGGAATTTGTTCAGTGAGGTTTTTCATTGATATTTAAAATAATCCTATGGAGGGAGAGCTCACGCGGTATGGTGATAGAGATCCTATTTGACACAAATAGTACGGTACAGAATATGTTCTAGACGACAAAAACTAACAATGTTTCGTATGTATATAAGCAAATAAGTCACGTACATTCTTGCCTAGGAAAAAACCTAAGATTCTCATACTATGACCCATCTTTTTAACTGCGCTCATTAGCTATTTAATAATAAATGGTAAGAAAGGTACACTGTTATGGTATAACCGAAGACAAAAGTGTCATACAACTCGAGATCATCTCGCGGTACTGCGGGACTTCTACGCTATATGGAAGCGAAATTCAGGCCAAAATGAATTGTTTCAATACGCCAATTATACTACCGTGTGTATATTTCGTATTATAGAAATAATTTTGTTATAATATGCCGCTAAACATCTCTCGAATTGTAATTTTGACGCGTACTTCACTTTACCTTATGCTTATAATAACACATACATGTATTATTATCTATATGTACGACATTTTTGCTATCGGTATTTTAAGCCACCACGTACGTTCTCCTGCGATGCTTTCATCAGGAAATAAAGCGCAATCTCGGTCTTTTTTCAATACCAGTTCGATACCAAATCGAGCTCACCGAAAGAAGGTACAATATCGATTTTTGTGAGCGTCGGCGCCTCACATACAGATCAAGACGCGGTCATTGTTTCATTTTTTATAGATACAAAATTACATTACTATACGAGATGTACCGCTTAGTATAACATCGCTGGGGTGAACACGGCGAACGATTAAGCGACGTTAGGGTACGACTGCATATGTAATAATATACAACAACATATACCCTCCCCCACCCCGCCTCACAGACAGACAGACAGACAGACAGACAGACACGCGCGCGCTTTCTAACGTCAACTTTCCTTTTTTTCCGAAACAAAGGAAGAGAGTACATGCTTCGGTGATAGTTGATAAATAATGGGGCACAACAACGTTGAAAATGCTACATAGACATACACACTCCTCTATTCCAACTCCTTTCTCGCTAGTTTCTCTCTGCTCTGCTCTCTCAACAGGCGCAACTGCGGACGCTAGTCTCGCCCAACACCTACCTCCATGTCACTCGCTTTACGTACTCGAAAAGTCGTCTCGACGGGATTATAAAAACAAAGAAAACGAAAAGCATTCGAGAATAGAGCTAACATAATATTGGTATTACGGCATAGGGAATTGCGATGTGTCAATAGTCAATAACGTACGCCGTGTTTTTCTGGCGAAGCGCGCTTCATAATCGCAGTGAGTGACTACTCAACAAGTAGTTCGTCTTTGTAGCAACTCGATTAAATAGAGATCCTTGATTCAAGGCCACTGTTACATTATTCAAAGCCTTTATGGCCTTTAAAGCCTATTTCTGCTGCCGTTAGCCTTTTGTTGTCGGACGAACGTGGCTAGTCCTGAACATTCCTTCAATGCTCGTCTGCCATGCTAAAAGATGGTGGCTAAAATTGGATATAGTCGCGGTCACGACCATGGGATGGGGGATAAAATGAAGGGCAGTCTCTTTTATAGCTCCACATAGGCTGTGTTTTCCTTAATGTCCAAAACTTCCCGGTACATGTCTTTGACAGCACGAATATTTTTCCTTATGATGTACAAATCGTCATTTTAGCCTTATTTTACATTTTTCACACTCCGCTATCACTATGAGACCTGTTACACCGTCACGTAAAAGTATTTTTTAAAATTCACGCACTTTTGTTGATTTTTTTAGTATCTCTAATGTAATGGTGAATCTCAGGATCGTTTTCGGCGTTCGTTCTAGATTTTCCTATCGATTCGATCACTCGACTCATCACTAAAACGCACACTAGTAATAATCACAATAATACAACAATATATTGTACTACTACCTAAGTCATTAGTGTCAGTCACATTTTAGCTGGTCGTTTTGATGAGTCCAAGTGCATCGTTCCAGGAAGGTACAAGAACAAATTTCGAGGAATACGTAGTAAAGGAAATTGAAAAAAAAAAAACAAAAACAAAAAACTTACAATAACTGACAAACGTACCAAGTCATTTCCAACCAAAAGAGTAGCATCATTCTGATGGCTGCCGCAGAATCGCGTACATGGAAATGCGCATTAACGCATATAAACACAAAGAGATAATAATATACAACAATCAATTTTGAATTAAATTAAATTAAATCGCGCTTCAGTTAGTATGGGGAGCAACCGACAAATTTGTGTTCGTCATATTTCACTTAATTCGCTTCAGCTTATTCTGATGTTGTTGTTGTTGTTGTTGTTGTTGTTGGCGGCTCTTCTTGATCCTCATGACTTCTTCTTACTTAGAAAGGGGACTTTTTTGTGCATTAGATTAAGTGTTATGTTATGTTTACCCCTAATAGCCTCTGTAATAGCAGTCGTAGTAATTGATGATAGGTTGTATAAGTGTTAATTAGTTATTTGTTAGGTGATAATTCCCACAATTCGTCGGTCGCTAACACAGATGATATAAAGAACGCGAGTAGCCCATTATCTTTTCCTTCTTGCTTTCATCTGCTCTCCTCGCCGCAATCGTTTGCGTATTTCTATTTGTGTGCTTCATAGAAGCTTCACACACAGCCGCCGCTGCCGCCGCCGCCGCCGCTGCCGCTGCCGCCGCCGCCGCCGCCGCCGCCGCCGCCGCTCGGCTCTAACTGGTCTGCATCGCCATCATGACACTTACTGGATGTTCGCACTATGCCAATATCCCGCCACTCATCAAAAAGTTCTTACACGTGTTAACTTCTGATCTTCGCATTTTTTCGTCATCTTCAATCCATAAGCTCGTCTCGCCAAATTTAACAGGTCAAAGGTTCTGTTACAAATCAATTCTCTTTTGAGTAGAGCGCCACTTGCACCACACCTACAGAACATACCATTCCATGATTTGATGATGCTCGCCACTCAGTAGTAACACCATCAGAATTATTAGCAACGGGTAAAGTAATAGAATTCCCGTACTCATGCTAAACATTTGCGCAAACACATTTTCTTCCCTGATGGTCATTTCATGCCTCACACGGTCTGCAGTACGATGGATGGATCAATGGATGAATAAATGGAGGGTCGCGGTAACTTCACGACGATCGGCTTGTGTCGGCTATAAAGCGTGACGTGATATGCTGTGTAAAAGCGAATCCGTATCAACAGGGTAGATGCACGCAGACTGTTTTCCACCAAGCAATACATTGGCTACTGTAACGCGCTGCCCATGAGTGGCAGACACCGTCGATCGCAGTTCCTTTAATGGCTGTCACATGTTCACGTTAGATGATCTCGGATCGAATGCTTCATCACGTAGTTGTCCGTTACATTCCCTTGTTATTGTTTGTTGTTTTCGGATAATTTCTAAAAGGATGTATAGTCTACTTGAAGAGCTGCAGTTGCGCTACGAGCGGGATGTGGTCAGATGGGATCTCCTGATGCGGGCACCCAATCACCTTGTTTTCAGCGAGCCATTCGGGGTCGAGTGGGCCGAGGATACCTGCAACGGTAATCTGCTTCTTCGTGAAGAAAATGTAGTCAATCATTCCCTGAAAATCGTACCTGGAAACACAATACGTTCCTCTGTTAATTTCAGCAACAATTAGAATTACGGCAAAGGGCGAAATAGTGTCGTTGTAGGTCTGCATTGCATCGGTATTAATCAAATGAAAGTGGAGTGCTCGCTTTTGCATAAAATAATAGTGATCATGACCTATATTCAATATAATTTAGCGTTGGTGACAATTCAGTCATTCGTCCTCCCTGTATCGCTGACCAGGCGGCGACGCGCTATGGCGGTTTTTTACTTCCTTAAATAAAGTGATAAAATCGATCGTCAAATACGACTGTCGATTTTATCACTCAAATGCCCAGTAGTCGCAACTGTTGCCAACTACACAAAATCAAGGCCAGCAATGTCCTTCTACTACCAAGTACTAGACACTTTTTGTTTTCAATAAAAGCTAGTACCGAGAACCGGTACAACAGAACAATAGAACCGGTTGTTTGCAAAATCACTCTAATTAAACTGTTTTCGCTCTTTCGTAGTATACTCACGTGTAATTCGTGTAGGGCATGTCATTCTCAGTGTAGCCTTGTTCGAGCTGGAACGGATGCGTATAGGAATTCGCCCCAAGCTGACTGTTACTGTCTACGGTCATTTTTTTCAAACAGGACCGGTATGAGTTCAGTTCCTTAAAGTCCGGGTGGTCACAAGCAATGCGACCGTTTCGCAGGTACTCAATGACACCAGAATCTGGCAGTGAATTGAGATCCCCCGTAAGGATAATCGGTATATCAGTGGTCTTAGCAAGTGCCTTGCTCTTCTCGTGAATCGTCTGCAACTCGTTCATCAGCATCATCGTCTGAATGAGCTTGACGTCACAGTACTCCGGATCCCAATGGATGTGAGCAGTACACACAAGCACAGGCACATCGGGATGTTCCTTGAGCTGCAGCAGAACAGCCAACGAAATGTTGTCCTTCGTCATAACACGATTGAGCATATCGTCTGAGCCTTCTGCGTTGGCCATTGCTAACTGGTTGAACTCGATCAGGTGTTTATCGAGTACACTGAACTTGGATGTCTTATAAAATATGGCACAACCATCGACGTGCTTGCGATCCGTCTCCGGCATCGACTTAGCGCGCGACTTCGGTGAGAAAATGCCCTCCCATCCTTCATGCTTCAGCTCCGGCTCAAAATAGTTGTAGAATTGTTCGGTCTCAACCTCCTGTATAAGTAAGTACGGTATAGTGCAGTGCGAGAGAACAAATGGTACAAGCACACGTTAATCATATCCTAGTATAACATTATGAAAATATCGTAATATATATATACGCTGTTTAATGACCTGTAACGTGATGATATCAGCCGAATTGCTTCGAATCTCCTCCATGATGCCCTTTCGGCGATATTCCCAGGTGAGGGCCCACGATGGACAGTAACCATACATCGTCCGCGTAGCGTACTTATCACACAGCACGTTGTAACACATGACGGTCAGTTGGGTGAATACCTACAGGCCATTCCACATGCATACATTATATATAGAACAACAATGCAACAGTTTATAAACAAAAGTTTTTGTATAGACCGTTTTAAGGTTATCTTTATCCTTTGTAAGAAATGCGGCTCGTAGTTTCGTTGAAAACTTAATTTCATCACAGGTCTCCGTGTGTGCGGCCCAATCAGCTGATTCGCTTGATGCGTATACCTTACCGACTTTCCCTGCGGCGGGTCAACGGTCTTTCTAAGCCAATGTCGTGTTGGAGCGCCACTTTGCGACGCAGGAAGACTATCAAGGAGGTACGTCAGTAGCTTCTGCGTTCCGTTCGGCTCCGAATACAGCGAAAGAATGTCCGGTGACAGCGGATTTCCCTTTAGCCCTATACATAGAAAAACAAAAAAGGAGCAAAATTAAGCTCGACGGTTCAGGACCGCTTTTTACTGTTTGGCTGGTTTGCAGTTGTATGACGCACACAAAAGCATATTTTTGTATGTTTACATCAGAAATGCCTGACTACCCCACTGCGAAAATGAATAACCCCGCAGTTTTTCTGTTATGCTAAAGGCTCCCGATAAATACCAACCCAGTGTAATAAGCTGGAATAGTCGGCCTAGTTCATAGGGCAAGCTGTGCAGTAGATTGTTATTAAGTAGCAATTCGCGCAATTGCACGAGGTCACCTAGCTCATTGGGCAACGAACGAAGCTTGTTCGTGGAGACATCGAGAACGGCGAGGTGGACCAGACGACAAATGTCTACAGGCAGTCTCTGAAGTCCATTATCGTTGAGATAAAGTGCTGTAAGATGGGTGAATTGCCAGAGGGATGGTGAGATATTTCGAACAAAGCCCTTAATTTCCAGTTCGGTCCATTTGCTTTTTTTGCCTGATTGTAAATCGTCCGCCTGCATAAACGTGTGGTTTCGTCGCGGAAGCGAGACGCCTCCCGAGTCGAATTTGTTACCACCCGCCTGATTGTCCAGCTTGTTGTTACCAGGCCCATCCTTATCTCGCGCCAGATTCCGTCCGCCCATGCCCGACACCCCATAGAGGCGAGACATACGTTGATCGTCATGCACCACCTGCAAAAGTGCACGGATAGGAACCGTAAGGCATTAGACAGCAACTAAAGTTCGTTTCTCGTCACACTCGTATTCAATAGGCGATCTTGGACAGCCAGATCACTGCGGCCAGATTATTGTAGATGACGTTACGATCCACTGGTTTTATCTTAGCAGACGAAACTGAAGCGTTTTGGAATTTACTTACTAACTGCTCAAGAGCAAGCTTATCAGCCACTCTCGTGGATGTTCTGTTTATTTGCTTTATTTATCTGTAAGATAGTGAATATCCGCGGTAACTGTTAAAGGTGTGTCATTAATTCACACCTGTGTTTTATTGAACATCCTATTAAAACCGAATGCAAGTGTAGTCACCGAACTTCTCAATATTGTTCTTATTAGTAGAATATGTAACAAAACTTGGCTGGCTGGCAGCTCTCCCGTCCAGCTTTTACCCTATAATCATGTAAGCAAGCATAAACAGAACATCTGGTGGCAATTTTCATCGTTTATCTAATCAAATGGCTGGAAATGTCATTTCAGATCGAACTTCGCGCATGATGACCTATATTGGAAATCATGAAGTTCAGCCACGCGCACAGTTAACATTAGCCTTGTACTCGGAAAGATAGCTTGGATTCTGAATGTTTCATATTTGCGTGTAAATACTTGTGACGTTGCTGCTGCTGCTGTTGTTGTTGTTGTTGTTTGTTGTTTGTTGTTTGTTGTTGTTGTTGTTGTTGTTGTTGTATGAAATTAATGAGGAAAAACAGCAGCATCAGAATGGCTGCAGGCACAACGTACGGGTGCGGCCGGCGTTGAGGGAGGCGTTCCACGCGGTCGAGTAGAACTTTTTTTGCCCTTTTTTCGGCCTCCTCTAACGCTGACAGCATTGCGCTTAGGGAAGCTACGAACTGTCGACCCCATGTTTGTGAAAGGTTTCTGCTGCTGGTGATGATTCGGCGCCACATCGGCTTGCACCGGAGAACAAGCCACCACAGTCATTACACGTCGCTTACCACGATCCCTCATAGAATTCGTGAGACGTGCTTTTATTCCCTTGACGACCACGTGAAGTACAACAAGTTATTATTAACACTTTGATGAAATATACCTTGTTTTTGTGTAATCAAACGATTGCTATACGGTGACGGTATAGATAAAAGTGATTAGTTTCAGGTAGCGTTCCTCGTCGTGCACGCAGTTCACATCTGACGTAGGCCAGCCGTTCAGGTGTCAAACGTGTATTAGATATAAATGCAAGACTAGTCTATACCGAGTGGCTACCAAGCCAGTTCGTCTCTGACGAAGACCAGCAATGTATGGGAAGAATTGACGATTTTAGGGTTTGTATGGCAGACTCCGAACAGTGCGAACAGACAGGAAATGTAATGGGCTGGAAGCTAGCAAGATACACACAGGAGCATCTGCATAGTTATGTAATTATTATTAATATTACTATTATTATTATTCTGGAGGTGGAAGTGGCGATGACAATAATACTGGTTGAATGATGAAGATGATAGATATAATGAAATCTTAGCCCTGACGTGAGGACGATCGTCACTTTGTGGAAAAGTTCTTCGAGGCAGTCATAGCGGTTACGAGTACACAAAACAGATACATGTAGATGGTATAAGAAGAGGGCTCCAAAGGGTCAAAAGTTGTGATTCTTCTTATAGCTGGTACTTTGGAACTAGCGCGACCCCACTTCGTTTTGGTACGCTAGTGACGGTTTCGTTCTAAATTAGACATATTCTGCTCGCCCAATACAGAGGGGCCAATGGCAAGAACAACAACAAGTCTGTCTGCAAGTGATCTACCTGACGGCCAGAATATTAGTCTGGAATATGAGAAAACGTCAATATTGCATAACGATACATAGGCTCAGACGGATCACATTAGGTTCTGAATAAAGGCATAGAGAAAAACAGCAGAAAAAGCTACTTACGTCGAGCTGCTGCTTTCGATTAGTAAATTCAAAAATTTTGACACCAAACTGGACATGATCAAACTCTGTGACGACTGGCCCTTGCTTCGGTAGGTCTGGCAAGACACCTCTGATGGCTACAGGTCGTACAGCGTAGATCGAATTGAATGAATGAGTCAAGAGAACGAGCCGATGGTTTGTGGTAATGGTTTTCAGCTTTTGGCAGTGTTCGAATAACCATTCATTTTATGGGCATTTATTCCTTACAGGCGATATTTTTGTACCAAATAAACCTATAACTAAACTGGATTATGCAAAACCGTTCATGTTTTGCGTAATCTAGCTTAACGTGTAGAATAGATGCAAGCTTCTACTATATAATAGTTCTGAATCTAGACTGCCAGCTACTTAATTTTCTTGGTTGGTCACGTTAATATATATGGTTGGCTAGTTGGTAGACGATTATCAGTCACTCGACCAAGATTATACTGTCACCAAGGATGCGGGATGCTACTCCTCATCCTCAACCTAATCTATGATGTTTTTTTACATTAAATTTTTACACTAAATAACCTCGTTGAAGCAGGGATATCTATGACCTAGTAAAATATCGCATTTATTTGGTTAACTCAACGAGATACTACTTTAAAAATTCTAAATAGTTAGCATAGACAAAGTAGTTCGACAATGACTTGTGCACCATACAACTGCATTGTGTCTTTTTTACATTTAATGTGTATATTTTTATGTTTTATTATGTGCTCGAGGAGACTATGCTGTACCATTGGAACCAATAGCTTCTCATCAAGTCTCGCAATCAATGAGATGTGCCTTCAGTTCATTGGAGTATCATTACTATATGAATATTAAATAGCCCCATGCTTAAGTGCTTGCATTGAGCTATTGCCACCATCGAAATTATGTGACGGTATAATTATTGTTGTTATTATAGTTATTATTAAGACGTGCATTTGTTTCGCATGAAAAAAATCGATACATTCGATCGATATATACCCGATGGCGTAAGTCTGTTTTGTTTGGACCCTCATCATAGGATCTCTATTAATCATAGGATTTCTATTAATAGATAGTGAACACGCTTCTGATACGGCTTAGGCTGAGCTAATTATATACGACGGATTAGCAACTATTGCAGCGTCTGGCCACGCCTAAAATTTTACGTTTGCGTATTGTCTTTATGCGTTTCACACGACAGGATTAGTAAAGGAAATGCGCGGCGTACGAGTCAACAATACTCTATGTAATATCTGTGATGTGAAGATCTGTGCTTGTATACGTATTCGAGGAATACGACAAGTAAACCATACATAGCATTTCGACATAGGTCTGTTTTCTACTGCTGTGCCCTGATATAGAAAAGTTTTTATGGAAAGGAACAAAAGTCATGTATTTAGTCACATCGTTTAATCAAAAATCATTATTTAACTTCATACAATAATTAACTTAGTGAAAAGTTAATAATATATATATATATATATATATATATAAAAGTTAAAAAAGTTTTCCTTCTGGACAATTGAGATGTAAGGATTACGATCCAGCAAGTTTCTATTCCAGCAAGGATCTATTCAACTCAGAGGTGCTATGTTGGATTAGATTGGTTCAATTCATTCAGTTGGGATTTCATTAGATGATAGGATAATAATCACGATAAAAATAATGTCTACCTACCAATAAGGTGTAAATGATAAACATAGAACTATTACGGTGCGTTCCAATGATTTTTTTCTAACATACAAACGAGATTTTTCGTTTTTGGAACATGTTACAAATGGTTACAAGCGCCACTTAAAAACTACGAGGCACACACTTTAAGCACGTGCAGCACTAGTGCTTCACGTTCTATCGTCACATAATAGTCGCGATTTGTAGTGATCGCACTCGGGGCGAGGAAGTACTAGATTGTAGCGAACGAGGCGGTACATGCTTGTTTGATACGAAACTTTCGAACAGCTTACGCATGACGTTACGCAGACTGTAACAGATAAAAGTTTCCAAAATAGGCGATAAATTCGACGTTTGTTGCGAGAATCTGTCTCTTCTCCAATTTGTTTAATGACATTATAATTGCAGTCTTGGGGCAGTATTTTGGAGTAAATTCGAGCGACGAAGACAACGAGATGAAAGAGTAGAGGCTCGTGGAATAGTCTGCTCTATGTCTGTAGAAGATCCTAAAGAATCCTAGCAACGCCGTGGTGCAGATAACCATGCGTTATACCAGGAACTCTAGGAGAACAGCGTCATTATAAAAGCTGCGTCGATTATCAGAGATATTCTGGACACTTTCGATGCTTGAACGATGTCAGGCAATGGTCGGTGTTTGGGACGCAGGAAAAGGCAATTTGCGGAAATTGCTCCCTGGGGTAATTGGCAATACGCACACAGGGTTCTGAATTGTTTCGTTGCCCATTTGTCGTAAGACGTCGACTGCCGTATGCAGCCTCTGTCAGAGGCTGTTGGTCATAATGAATGGTGCTTTCCATTGTGCAAAGCACAAGTTCTCAACTGACGTGAACGCTCAAAAGCAGCACAGATTTCTTGCCTTATTGAATGTCATGTAGTTCTGGTAAGATATGACTATCTCGACAACGTGCTTTTTTTAATTGTATGTTTTGTTTGGGATTTTTTTTTTACTATAAAAACTCTATTTCGGCTAACCTAGAACGTTTTCTCTCATACAAAAATGTTCAAAGCAAAATCACCAATCCGTATATCATGGGGAGGAAGGAAGGAAGGAAGGAAGGAAGGAAGGAAGGGAAAAGCAGTTGTAACCGATGTAAGCTTGCTCTAATATACATGCGTGCTCAACGAAGCTTCTTGTGCTTCCAAGCTAACCCAAATACCGTTTAATACTGTACTGTATTGGAAGCTGTAGAGTTGAGCCATAACTGATGATTATTTGGTAGCTACCAAGCTAGCAATTAGCATTAAATATGTCTATTTCGTTTCCAATGTATTTATAGTTTTGCGCTGGCCTCTCGATTTATTCCAGTCATGGTTCACCTTATAAACTCTGGTAATCTATGCAATAATATATGTATACTAAGGTAAAAGTTATGCCCTTGCAAATGGCGAATTTGCCCTTCGGTGGTTTTGTTCATGTTAAACGAATTAAAGTCTTTGCTGGTTTTATTGGGGGAAAGCGTTGTCCGGTAAAAGTAACCTCCCACACGCTTTCGGATCTAATCAGGCTTGGCGTTCTAGTAGCATTAGAAGTTGTAAGACTAGAATAATTCAACTAGATCGGCGGTTTGAGAGCTGGGTTCGCGGATAGCTGGTAAGAGTAGAGATTTGCATAGGTTCCTGCATAGATCTGCAGGAACTGACAACATCACATGCGTCCCAATCGCCTTTGTTGTGGCCAGCCAGTAATTATTACATATATCATTCCAAATTTAATATTACTTATTAAACTTGTACGTGGCAGGAACCAAGTGCTCACGAAATATTTCTCGTCGTTATTGTTGACACTTTTATATTGAAAATTGCAGACGGGGAAGAGCGGCATTTGGGACGCGGTTACCTTAAACGCGGTTCCACCCAAATGAAGGCGATAGCAATTAAACATTTAGACAAAGACCAGATATTCTTGGGGCTTTTCTCTAATTTCGAATGCGTGATTTAGCCTCTGAAGAGGGGACTTCCATGTTTTTAGCAAAGCTGACAGACGATTTGTTTACAGTACGTGCACTTGGACATTGTTCGAGCAACGCGTCGACTGAAATTGATAATACATAGAATGTGGAGAGTAAAGGACAAAGTCACATGGTCATTTGCAGCCAACAGCAACAGATTAGAGCTAGCAGATAATACTGATTTAAGACGTCGATCTGAGGTGAAAGACCAAGCTTACAGAAATTAAGTTGACAAAAAATGACGGAACGTTTTACGGCGTCAATAAGAATCGAATTTTAAACACTGACTTCCTTTCAGGGTTGGAAGCGTACTTTTCGGAGAATCCATACTGCACTAATAACATATAGCCGTTTTAGCAGTAACTAGCCAGACGAACAAATAATCGTAAAAAAGACAATAGTAGAAGTTACGAAAGTAATAGATAGTAATCGTATAATGACTTACGAAGCTGCGGTTCCTCGCAGTGATGGGACTGCGGCCATGATAGTACTGGCTATGGTGATAACCCCCTGCAGACGACATCGTGGCGTCTCGATTTCGACGCTGTCTGCTAAAAAGGCCGCTCCAGAAGCTGACCCTCCTGAATTTGGCCCACGGTAAGTGTTGTAGTCCACGGCGGAGGATCCGTCCTCATAGGAGATTCTCTCAAGCTCAGTTGCACCTCCGCAGCTTTTCTTCTGTACAGTCGCACCTGCGTGCTGCTGCCACGCTCCTCCGCTGCACTTTTCAGACGCAGGTCGCTTAATTGCTCGTCTGATTAGACCTGCCTTCCTTGTCGTATCCTTGCGAGATATCCCCCTAGGCGATAGCCTATCTCCTATGCATGAAGTAGTAAATTTTGTAAGATCACTCTTTTCATCGTTCGCATTTGTATAAGCGTCAACTTGAGCAACTTAATCTTGGCGGAAGTAGGCTCGCGTTACTGTGATTATTCGCTCTTCACCAAGAAGCGTCGATAGTTAGTCAGCTTGCTTGTTATATGATAATACCTTCATAAGACATTTTATAAACCCGTGGTACTTTAACAGTTAAAAAATTTAGTCGAATTTTTCTATTCATGGTATTGAAGGTCGATAACTCCGTTCGGTTTGATTTCATTTTAGCTTGTGGAAACATATAATAGTTCGGCTTCTAATCTGTGAATGATTTATCCAACCTAACCCATAGACACCTAGGCTAAAGTGTCTTGAAAGTACTTGGAAAAAGACAGTTGAGCGTAACCAACAACGGCATGAAAACGAAGATCATCATGGTTTTTCTGCGTCTGTGAATATAGGTAATTAGTTCGGAATTGTCAGCCAGCGGATTTAAAAAGCCGTCATGCCCATACAACCAGAAACAAGAACAAGGACACGAGGCTGTACGCACAAGGAACTTCAAATCATTTTCATATTAATGACCGGTTCCGACCCCTAACACTCTTCGATAGCGCCACATGCGAATTTGGAAATGTTTACAACTTGAGAAGTTCAATGAAGAAGAGTGCATTCCTTGGTCAAGTCCAAATCCAAATACAAGCTATCTATCTATTTTCACGAAGCATACCGAATTACATAGAGGTTATACTCAAACACATACACACACAAAATGGAAGTTAACTAAAGCCATCGCTTGACACTGACGATTACTACAGAAGCACACGAACGATTGGTATATATTATACGATACTCACACGCATAAATAGGCTTCCATATTTTGCACTTACAGGTGTTGACCCACCAAACATCCACCCTGTCGTGGTAATAGTTAGGTCGCCGAAATTTATTACTCCAAACACTGTTTGACGCGTTCCTTATCTGCCTCACTATTGCACTGACTCGACCACTAACAGAGCCACATAAACTCATCACAACAACAACAACAACAACAATAACAACAACAACAGAATAGAATGTCCTCCTGGTGTTGTGTTTTAGTTTTTCTGCGTGCTTTCGAGGTCTTTTCATGCGTGTTTTTCTCTACAGTCACTCAGTAATTGCACAGTATCCCGGCCATCATGAGAATTTGTTAACACGTAGATTTAACAGAATATACAACGGCGCTTACAAAAACTAGAAGAGAACTGAACGGACACCTACCGGTGAACGGAGCCTTGGAGCTAAGCTTTAAACAATAACCGCAGCATCAATGAAACACTATATGCACAGATATAGAAGATTGATAAACGCTTGTGCACGAGTAAACACTGGCTTACGCAGACACAACTACTAGAAATGCACGGCGACGACGACCACACGGACTGCCCCCAACAGCAAACTCCGAATCCAACTCTTCACTATACGCACTCATGAACCGGGCCAGAGAACCTTCTCTTAGCTGCGCCATAACATACTGCTACTGGTTGTGGCAATAACTGCAGTAATAGCCAACCTCGTAAGCATAAGGACACATGGCGGTCTAGGTTCGGAAGCAGGTGCCAATATGGCTTTGCTTCGGACTGGGTCTCAGCCGTTTGGAGCAATAATTAACGACGGTATCCGACGTAAAGTTCGTAACATTTATTTTTTTTTTCTAATAGCAAACCTGTTCCCTTGACAGTGTAATGGTAACGCGTCTATTAAGAGTACACGGTGGTCAACGTGCGAAACGGCGCATAGACACGCTTCACATGCGCATAGAGACCTAAGTGTCTGAAGCAATGCTTAAGAAGAACGCAGTAGCGGACATAGAACTCCAAGAATGCTTTCCTTTGTTGTAGCTAGTACATGTTACTGCAATAGCAAGTTATTTTGTGCGGCAAGAAATGCCTGTAGAGATTTGCAAAAGGCCTACTTTTCCTTCTCTTGACTTTTCGTGCTTTTTACTGCTGTACGCGGCTATATCGGCCGATAGCTGTGGCGATGCCGCGTCCGCTGGTGTTGTCGTCATCGGCAGACGGGCGTACCAAAACTCACTTATGCCCCGCCGAGTTCTATTTAGCTGCAGTAGGCAGCGGCTCAGCAGATTTGGACGTAACGGTGAAATGATTTGTCGAATAGCGCTATTAGCACTCCTAACTGTACGAGTGTTGGACTGTTACTACTTGAAGAAATAGTCCATATTTGAATTCTAAGGTGCTGTACGTAAGTTTTTGAACAGTCGTTCGATCATCTGCGTAGCTGGTCGCTCTTTCTTTACGAGACGAACCTGATCCTTTTTTTATCCAGCATCTGCAAAGGGCTATCAAGTCCGAACAGCTTAGGGCACCTTAGTGATATTTGCTACTAATAGTCAGATCGCGAACCAACAAGGCTAGCTGACTAAAAAGCCCTACTGAAGCCGTCTTCGTATTACATCCTAGCAATGGTCTTTGCCGTGGAAAAGTCCCTGTTCATTAAGGCCCAGTCAAGTCCGAGCGATCGACGAAGTGCAGCGGCGAAAACAACAAAGTTAACGGAGCGGAAGATCGGGTGAGGGGGGTAAAGATGGATATAGAAGAAAAAGCGAGACAGAGAAATGAGGACCATGACGTTAAAGCGGAAGGAGAGGTGTATTGTGCTGATGATAAACAAGAACGATCCGCGGAAACCTTGCCTGCGCATAGTGATGTAGCAAGTGTTACAGGGTTGCCACGACATCCAATTGTTGCAAAAGCGAATGCAGACGCAACGAAAATGCTGCAACCGAGTGCCAAAATGACAGGCGGGCAGGAAGCCGAAAACCTTATCGGTACTTGCAATCATAGTCGCAGCAGCAGCAGCAGCAGCAGCACCCGCCATTGTATTGTTGTTGGTTGGTCCCGTAGTATCCATCTATAATACATATCTGTTGGCACACATACACCCAGACACACTCACAGCAATCACCACGCACAAATAGACGGCCAGAACCAGTCAACAGCCAGCATTCGACGTGTAATGATCATAACGTTTTCAACAACGATGCAGTTGCTTCTACAGTTGGTGTTGCGTGACACAACAAACAACCGAGAAAAGAAGAAGGAGGCGCACTGCCAGCCGGATTGCCAAAAAGGCAGGCGAGTGGCGGACTTGTGAAGATGATGGTCAACGCACTTGATGCATTTCAACAGTGGAAAAGTGGACAAAACCCATGAAATATTAGACAGACCCTGTTAGCTTTTGCCACATCAGCAATGCAGGACAGGCAGTAGCCAGGAAGGTACAAGATCCGGAACACTTGTGCTACTTTTACTATTAAAAACTTATTCCACCACTGCTACTTATGACGCTGACCGTGTTTACGGTGGCGCTGCAGAACGCATCGTGGCAGATACATATATACACATGTGCATATATAACATCAAATATAGAGCTATTGTTACCGCGAGCTGTTTCTCTTATTAGTTACTGACGTTTGTTCCATTTTCCTTTTAGAAAGATCTACCAATAAAACTGGCCATGACAGCTCAAAAATTGATGAAGGGAAAAGGAGGTGGGGGCGGGAAGGGGCAAGTGTGTTGTCTCTGTATTGTTAGTTACCTTGACATTTTGCAGTAGTAGTTATGATAGTAGTGGTAGTAATTGATACACCTACCCTAAATAATGTGGCAACATTTAGCCTATCTAGCTTTAGGCAAGCGTTCTGGAACTATAAAACATAATTTATGGCCAATAAATATGGTGTTGGAAGTGTTTTGTTGCTTTACCCCAAGGTAGCACAAAAAGTAAAGTACTTACTTACTTACGTTGTTGCGCAGGCACTCGTCTAAAGAATCTGTGTTTTAACTGACAAGTAGTTAATCGTTTAAGTACTATCCATTGTTTTCGTCGTTCCCTATATAGTGAAATAATGATGTGCTATACGCCTCACAAGAGCTTTTGTAATCGCATGCCGTACTCCTGCCGTTTCCATCAGCGTAACCAGTGATATGTCGTGTCCACACTTGCGGCGCTGTTGGGACAACGAGAGCACAGTTGGTGTCACATAGAGCGTTCAATTTAGACCCAGTTGGTCCAGCGTTAAATATTATCTTAGATTCCATGTGCGTCTACCCTGCACTTTTTGCCTCGTATCTTTTTGGACAAAGACTCACGTGAAAAGTATGTATAACGCATAACCAACGGAGGTCAATGCAACTTAATGGTGTCATTTTTAGATCCATAATCCGTCAGACACCAATAAAAAAGCAGGGCGAGTCAAAAAAGTACAGAATGGCGTAAAACGCTTACAAATCTGCCGCAAATAATGCATGCATAGCGAGCATGTATGCATGTTGGAAACGACTACAAAGGGTATCCGATGAGTTATTCGTAGTCCGATGAGTTACCAGTAGTCGCAGCAGGTGGATAGCCAAAGCTTCCAATCATTACTTTTTGGCACCTTTTCTGTTTGCTCATAACCAGCCAGTCCCATGTATAAGGCAACATTTTGTAGTTGACAGCAGTGCCTACGTATACTTGATATAACTACACGACAACTAGTGTTGACTAATGACGACGAACTTCAAAGTTTTTGCATGCGTTATGCAAATGCTCCTGATGCGCGTGACCGACTGACTAGCTTTTGTCTGTTTCTATTGTAAGTTAGTTATGCACTTTAAAATCAACTGCTGGAAGTTACTCTTTATAATTCATCATTCGGAACTGCTGCCAACTGGCGAGACGGTAAAAATGTGGCAGTAAAAATGGAGTTGAGTTTTCTTTTTATGTTGTCAACGGATGCAACGTTTACGTCGACCTCGACCCTTACCACAGACAAAGAAGTCTCGCCGCCACGAAAAGCTACAAAGAGAGCGATAAAACCAATCGTTTTTTTTTTTTTTTTTTTTTATTAACCTGTCAACTTTATCTCGAACTATGTTTGGGCAAAAATCTACATCTGGAGTACCTTCAACAGTTTGTGTCGCAGAGGTGTTTGTTTGCCTATGTCAGCAATTTCGCAAGATGACCGTCTCCATTCACAATCTTAAAATATTTCCTACATTAAAAAATAATAGCAAACGTTGACAGTGTCAGTACCCATAAGTAAGAGCGAGGGCTGACTTTTTCTATCTATTATACTATCGATTCGAAAGTGGACGAGAAAGCAGACTCCACTGTATTATTTATGTATTCATATAGCAAAATGTCATACAGTAGTAGCATCCCTGTATACAAACTATACCCTGGATTGTTTGCACAGTACCTAGTATAAAAAACATTTCAAGCTTTATGCCTGGAACTGTGTTACGGCTACGTTAGATAGCCAGCCCAACAGCATCGTGTGCTATCGATTTAGTATTCAAATGCGATTTTCTACCCTACATCTCTGGGCTATCCCAGTGATACACGAACGACCCTTAGCCTCTGCCCCTGGGGCTCGAGATGATGGCACGTAACGAAGAAATAGACCACTTACAAACTGCGAATCAGCAGCACGGGTACCGAATCAAGAAGATATTGAATAAGTTGAATTTTCTAACATGGGAAAATACTAACTAAACGATACGCTGATCTAGCGCAGCAGCTTTGCCGATATACGATAAACTTCTATGAAAACGTGGAACTGATTCTCACTTACTGCACTGAACGAAACTGTGATGATATTAACAGCAGGTGATACTTGCATACATGTGTTTAGATGCTAGACACGGTGGACTAATGTTATTGCCATTTCCATTGACCTCTACGACGAAAACAGTTAGTTTGTAATCAAATGGAAAAACAGACTCGGGCGTGACACGGCTGTCTTCACAGCATCAGCATAGACATTATAAAATGGTCATTTCAAAAAGTAAAGATGAAAGAAAACTAGGTGCTAGAAGCAGCTGCGGTGATTCGGAGACCGATTGATGAGCCCATCTTTAGAGAGACCCGTCTGGCTGTTTCGACGAGCCTGTGTAGTCATCGCCTTTGCTGAGACAACGGTCCTTTAGCTAAACATGACGTTTGTATCCCAATGCAGCCAGCGAGATTGATGATGTGACACAGTCTCCTTATCTTTCCTTGTTCACTTACATCCGGCAACGATTGTGTTGACAGGACACTCTTCGTCCTGCACCGACAAGCAGGACACTGACGCGATGCGAACTTGATGCAGTCAGCCCCGTTTGATAATGGCCACCATCAAGATCGGCAGATCTGCTTGATATATGGTCATCGGTCGAAACGAATGAAAACTTATCCCTGCAGGTTACGACGAATATTGCCGCCGCTGGACTACCTCTGCGACGTAACCCTAATGGCGTATAGTCTTCGCGAAAAGTATACCCTGGCCAATTTATTAGTTTCATTAATTCAATCAAAGTTTAATTTACAGAATCGTTACAATTATATTGAGGATAAAAGGCTACAATCTAATTCAGTCGAGGCTTGTTTAGGAGCGTTGAGCATGTTCCGACCTGTGAATGGACCCATTTTGGGTGCATAATTTGCATATAACTCTCATCATTAATGGGCTTATTGTAATACAGGTTAGATTCTTCGATTCATTCTGGGCTTCTCGTCTTTAATTCCAATTCAGGGGGAGCGTACTGATACATGTGGGAATCTAGAGTCAAAGGAAGGCCTCAATGTAAGCATGACTTAAATCTTTTCCAGCACAGACATATTGGTATCACTGCTTCCCTCGCTGGAACGCCATTAACAACAACCTGGAAAATATTAATTAATATATTATAGCGTCTAAATAACCATATTATACATATGGTAAAAATCTCTAGAAAGAGAATTGCGATCAGCATTAAGGAGCACAGATCCTATCGACGGCACCATACCAATTTTTGCCAACTGCCACCCGGAATGTCAAACACCTAGCGAATACGCTCATTCAACTCGAATCTTCAACATGGCGACCATTAACGTTTAACACAGCGCGTTGTCTCGCCCTTAACATGGCCAACATTTTCCATTAATCCATGCGCAATTATATCATCAGAATACTTTTTACCAAACATTTCAGACTACTTGTGTGCAATATGTGTCCTTCCTGCTGTTCCTGTCCAAATAGGGATAGGATGTCTAGTTCAGATATAGTCAATGCCATGCAATGATCATTTTTCATCGAGGGTCACCATAGGGGTTGCTTCTAAGAGATATATATGATTATACCCTAGTTCGATCACAAGGTGAACGTCAAGAGCTCCTTGCCACTTTAATTAGAATTTTGTTAGGTCAAGAAGGCTACATTACGCTTTCTCAGAATATCTTTATTAAGTTGAGGTAACCCTGAACTGAAAAACGTAGTTATATTTTGTGCCCCATAAGCTGCAAAATGTCATTTTGCTATAAATACAATCTCGTCTCGTACATTTAATGTTTCATTTGTTCGATTTCCTGATACAACTTCATCAATCTAATTACGCCTTGTTTTGGGTATACTTCTCACGGATTTCTATTAAATATATGTCAAGTTTATTTGTTAATATCGTCGCCACACCAACTAAAGTATGCTTTCTTTACTCAAGTAAGCTCATAGCCTACTCTGTAGCTGTGAATTGTCCCTCTCGCCTCTGCTAAAAGTACTGGTTTTGCAGGTTTATCCAGCACAAAATACCCTGTTAAAGGGTACGAATTAAACAGACTTTTACAGCCCGCTTGAGACGCTTCACGGAAAAAACTCCGCAAAAGATACAGACAACTGTCCTCTAGAAAAACATGTTTCTTTTCCCACAAAGCGGAATCATGCATACGAGCGATAAGCTCACCTATGATAAATAAACCGCCCAAACTGTACTGCGTCTCTCAGCCCAAGCTTTGCCGCGTAAACATTGTATTACGCACCTAATTTGTACGTGGGGCTGGTAACCGAATCGTCCGTGTGCCCGAACTGGGGCACGTAAAGGTTGTGTCACAAGAGTAAATGTGCTCAAATTAGGTTAGGTGAAATTTTCTGAGACTGCAACCTGATGCCTGTAAAGTTGTCCGTTTTCTTTTGGGCAGCACTGCCGATAAGGTGTGATATGAACCAAATAACAGTCACGTTCCGATAGGACACCAAAAATACCCATAAATGTGCTTGATATGGGTTAAGTAGTGTCGCAGGCATACAGAGTAGGAGCTTAACAGTTTTCAGTTTAGGAAACATTTCTAAACGCTTCATCATGTGGAGGAGTGTGTTTAACTTGTGCTGCCTTGATTACCTTATACACACACATATATTGTTTTGTATCTATCAAGATTACGGGTACATATAATAACCGTAGTAGAACGTGTATGGTGTCATATTTGCAGTTTCGAACCTGTTATTTCTTCCAGCAGAACGACATACTCTGTGAGCGGGTTGACAGATTACTTGCAATAAATATTAGTATGTATAATATGATATTAGTAATATATTTTAATAATAGAAAGTGGGATTACTCTACTAGGGTTGTCAATCACCCCCTGGACCAGGGCTAGAGATTAATAATAATACAAACAGGGTCACAAAATAATTGCGCCAAGATAACCGGGTTATTAACATATTAAACCAATTAAAGACGTAAGGTATCATAGATCGCCAGCATTATTACTGCAGCGGATTAGCTACATCAGAATTGGTGTCACGGGATTTCAGGGGAAATGCAACGGGTAGAACTTCATTTTACATTTAGCTCCCTATAGCAGGTGTTTGTCGTTTGTATATCGTTTATGTTGAGTGTAGAAGAGTAGTGCCTTCGGTGGAACCGTAACGGAGCAGTAGTTGGTGCGTACTTGAACCCGAGTTTAGGTT